CTGAAGCACAACATATGACACCTGGAATCCAGCAACCAATGCAGTCCTTCTCAGTAGAAGCCTCTTGAGCTTCATCTTAACTGATAGCATTTCCATTAGTCCTCTGATTTTCCAGACTCTAACCAGAGTCTCCCATTCAGTTTAGAGCATACAGGAGCTACATCTTTGGCCAATCTCTCAAAATCTTTCTAAATTAATTCCTCAAGCTCTTAAGCCACATGGCCAGGCAACATCACACCAGTGGCCCCACTCCTGGTACTAATTTTATTGTAGTCAGGATTTACAAAGGACAAGATTTAATTCAGGATACATAATTAGGATTATTTTATAGTCACTCAAAGAATCAAATGCAAAAGAGTGTGGGAGGTCTGTCCACATACACTAGAGACCTAAAGAATCCAGCTGAAGACTTAGAGCCCAAGGCAGTGTCCAACATGAATCAAAATGGAGGTCTAGCCATGCAAGTCTGTATCGAGTATCTGCACTGGAAAGTGGTCAATGGTGGAAGCCATAAAGTCTGTACCAGTGGCATGAAGGATCCAGAGCAGGCTGAGGGATCTGCACTGGAGTCAGGAAGCAACATTCAAAGTAAAGACCAGAGCTCTGCTCAACCACAGTGAGGATCTGAAGACAATCACCGCCACCCTCAACAACACTGAGGATCTGAGCTCCTTCAGTCATGAGAACAGCTGAGTTCATATCAGGAAAACCGTGTGACAGGCTTATCCAGGAGAATCAACAGCACCCCCCCTCCCAGTTCTGCTTTTATGCTGTTGGCAACAATTCTCAGATGGTCCTTCCACACCCAGCACCACACTGACTCAATTCAGCAAGGTGTTACAAGTGAGGAACCCACAGATAGGGAATCCACAGTACTTTGAACTTATTCTGGGAAAAGTTTTACACCCTTGATGGCAGGAGAATCTCTCTTCCTCCTCTTCTGCCTGCTTTTGGGGCACACGGCAGGGGTGCAGTGTAGTGTGTACGTGCACAAAGAAGGCCTGGAACACCAGAAAAAACAAACAGAAATTGTCCTTTTGATTTTCTCCCACCATAATTAGCAGCCCCCGAGCTTGATCCCTACGGGAGAGGTGAGCAGAGATGGAGGCTAAGGGCTAGTGCTTCTTACGTCATTTGTCAGCCTTGCAATATTGGCCCAAATCCCATTCCTTTTTACCAAAAGGAATTTGGTAAATTCCTTTGGTAAATTTGGTAAATTCCTCATTTGTTCCTCTATAACCTCATGTCATGGGAACAGACTCAGCCAACCTCTCAGGCCCAGAGAGCTAGTGCAGCCTCCAGAGGCAGCTCCAGGCATGGAGGCATCTGGCTAGGGGTACAGCTCAGTGGTGGAGCCCTTGGCCTAGCAAGCAAAAGGCCTTGAGCTTCATCCCAGCCCTGCAAGGAAAGAGAGGAGAGAAGACGAGGGGGGGAGGGGGAAGGGGAAGAGGGGAGGCAAGAAACAAAGAAAGAAAACAAATACGTATGACGCTGAGGCACACTGTGTGGTCACATCTGTGGTCAGGCCCTGGGGCTGGGCAGAGTGGAACTCAAAGATGGGGTTGGTTGGAGCAGTGGGCCCAGGGATTGGGGCCTGTACCAAACTGCCTGCCCATGAGAACCTGGGTGCTAGTGTTACTGGGCAGGGGACCTGCTGGAGGCTCCGCTTGTAGGTAGTTTCCAGGTTCTTTCTGTCTCAAACAAAGAATTGAACAAAATAAGCAAAAATATTAGTAAGTTTATTTCAGAAGTTAAAAGTGGCTTGCCTGGCAAGTGTGAGGTCATGAGTTAGATCCTTGGTGCAAAAAAAAAAAAAAAGTTAAAAGTGAAATACTATCTGTGCTTTCATTGCTTGAGCACTCTTTCATGTCTGTGTCTTGTAATCTGAGCAACTATTTTGAAGATAATAGTAGACAATACATTAACTATTATTAAGCTCCTGTTGTGTTGTTTTGAAGTTTTGCATTGACCAGGGGTTTAGCTCAGTGACACAAACGCCTGGCTGACAAGCCCAAGGTCATGAGTTCAGTCTCAGATAAAAACAAAAAAAAAATTTGTATCATCATTTTTCATCATTTTTATTCTTTTTCATTTTAAAATTAAGAAACAAAAATAAAAAATAAACAAAAAAGTGAAGCAGTACAGTTGAGTGGGCCAAAAGCAGTCCAGATGCTTGTGTACAAGAAGGAAAGAATCAGTAAGTGACCAGGCTGACCTTGAACTCACAGTGATCCTCCTGCCTCAGCCTAGTAGCTGCAGTTATGGAAGATTATGGGATAGCAGCAGGAAGAATGAAGGGAAAGAGGATGAAGAGAAAAGGGTCCCCAATAACCCAGGCTTGCAGAATCGGTGGGGTCAGATACCTTGGACATCAGAAATGTGCCAGGCATCATGACCTGCTAAACTTAAACCTAGATAATCATTAGGGTGGTGTGGCATTTACAGTGGCACTAGGAGGAGGGAGTGACCCAGAAGGGTAAGAAACTGGTGCTGCAGATCGAATACAAGAGAAAAATAAACTCCACATGTAGGGCCTTGGGAACTCAGTATGGGTGTCCTGGGATTTGGTTATACCTGTTCCCAAAGCAGCTGTGGCATGCCCTGCCTTCCTGCTGTTGCAGAAATCTGATAGCAAACCAAATGAAAGACCCTTTGCACTAGAGAGTTTCAAGCAGCTGTTTATTGTACTAGCAGGCTGGCAGAGCCATGTCCAAATCACCAGCCTTGAGTCAATTTTGGGTTTAGTTTTTATAGCATTGCAAGCAGGAAATGCAAAAGCCAGTAGTGAATCAGTTTATGTCAAGTCATAGGTTGTCAAGCAGATTTGTTTTATGCAAATTTTCTTAAAAAATTGTTTACCGGGGCTAGGGATTTAGCTCAGCAGCATAAGCACCTGCCTTGCAAGCAGGCAGTCATGAGTTCGATCCCCGGTACCGATAAAAAGGAAAAAAGACAAAAAATAAAAAAATAAAAAATAAAAAATTGTTTACCGTAAGGCAAGAGAAGTGAGGGAGGAAGTGGGGCTGAGGGGCTGAGAGGTTGGAACCACGCATGTGCCTGATGAGTTTATCTTCACTGGACAGTCCTTGAAAATAGAATTAACTAATTAATTAATTAATTGGGTACTGGGAATTAAACTCAGGATATCATGCTTGCCAAGCAGGCATTGTGCCACTGAGCCACATCCCCAGATCCTATGGAACATATTTATATGTCACACAGTATAGGCAGTCCAGGTGTGACCAGACTGAGCCAGGTCCAGCTGTCTCTAAGTTGCAGCTGGCGTGGTCAGTGAAGTCTGAGTGTCGTGGTCTAACTATGTGCTGGGCAGGGTGAGAACATCTTGTCTCAACAGGGCATTAGGCTGTTGATTTTTAACTTTTCTGTTACACTGCCTCACTAGAACATGGACACCACTGTGCAGTGGGAGGGCAATTGGCACATGTTATTTCAGATAAGGCTGCACCTCATCCTAGGCTCCGGGTGATGAACCAACCCTTCGAACTCATGTCAGGAGAATGATGCTTCCAGCCACCTGCCTGGGTTAGTAGTTTCCCAAGCTTGACTTCATTTTTGCCATGATACTATTTTCAGCCTCCTGAGTTCATATTTTTATGGTCCAAGGTTCAGATTAGTCACCACTTTCCTGTTTGTGTAAACCAGAAGTACCTGAGGCAGACAGGTTTTTTTTCACCAGTCCTGGGAAATAGGCAGCTTCCAGAGAAAGGAAAAGAGACAGAGGTCTGAGCACAGCAGAAAAAACCTGAGAACAACCACTGTGGCCCTGAGACTACACCGGCTGTTCTGTATAGGCGATGGGGTCTTATGTTGGGTCACAAGGAGGGGAGATCTTTGAGAGGGGGCTGTGGCTCTCTGTCTAAAGCAAGCCTGAGAGAGCATGATGGTCATGGCTGCCCAAGGAAGAGGTTTGGGGAAGCGTAGGGACTGGTGGCCGCTGTTCACTGCAGGGCTAACTGTGTTGTCTCCAGGTGTGGCTGTACTGGGACGGGTGCTTCGAGGGGTCTCAGATCAGGGTGGTGACCACCAGAGTCCTTCACCCTGTGTCTGCTAGCTGCTCCTGCTGTGCCCCACCCCCACATATTTCCAATGTTGACGTCTGGAGCTCTGCCCTGACCCTGGCTGACTGTGTCTACATGTGTGACCAAACACTGTAACCCAGCAGATGCTGGCTCAGCTGGTTTTCAGATGGGTCTTCATGTGGCACCCAGTGAGAGCATTTCACCCTCTTCAACCTGACCCCAACCTACTTTGCAGGACTTCTCTGTTCTGAAGTTTCTCTCACTAAGGGGTTAAGACCAGGGACCCTGAAGCCACTGACTGTGCCCTTGGAAAGATGCTTGACCTTTCTGTGCCTTCTTTGGCTGTCTGCAGAGGGAAGGTAACTATGGTGTCTCCCTTCCTTGGATCTTTGCAGGCAGATCAGTTGTGTGCTCCCTGCATTCAATGTCCTCCCTGGTGGGATGTAGGTGTTGCTTGTTACCTGTGGCCTGGATATTTACTGCCTGACTGGTTTTGGAAAGCATTTTCCCAGGCCAGGTGCCCCCTGCCCTGTAACCCTTCCTTCCCTTGCAGCCTGCTTTGGTCCCTGTGCCCCTGACCTTCCTTGCCATGGGCTGTGTCCTCAGAACCACTTCTTGCTCCGTGAGCTGTGTGGAGGCTTTGCAGAGGCTTTTGTGACTGCCGGCTCATATCCTCCCTGCTTGAGTGGGTGCAGAGAGGGTACAAGAGATCCCAGATCTTCCATGTTCTGGCTTTGTTGTTCTGGTTAGTGGCTCTGCCTCTGCATTACCTGCTAGATAATGAATAATGATGAATAACACCTTGGTTGTTGGTTGTTGCAAGACTTAAATGGATGATGCCCATTTGGGTGTTGGAGGAATGGCAGCACTAAAGCAAGGACAGTTGGTTTGGGGACTGAATGTGTAGCCCCTCCTGCCACTCCCCAGCCTGTGTTCTGACCCAGGGTCCTTCCTTTCCAGGGGGTGCTCTGCCCAGAGCCCGCCAGCTGGCTTCTGTGCTGCTGCTGTCTGAAGAGGACACTGCCTGCCCCATAAAGACTGACTCCCCTGCGACACTGCACTCCAAGGTACAGCCTGTTCTTCTGCCTTCGCCACGCCCCAGCTTGGGGCTCCCTCCCAACAGTGGAGTCCTCAGGACCGGGAGCGGGGAGGAGAAAGGGAACCTGTCAGACTCTTCAGGGTCCTCCGAGGGTGACTGCAGGTGGTCAGCAGGATGTTCAGCCAGGGCATGAGTGTGCTGTATGAGCATATGTTTGGTCTTTTCTATGGCGGGGAGGGGCTCAGGGCCTGGCTCCTGCAAGGCAGGTGCTCCGTGACTCTGAGTGTGTGTTTTTAACGAACTTCCTTGTCATATGTGTTTAAAAGATAGCTCTGGTAATTAGCATCCTCTGCCTTACCGCTGAAAATATCTCCGTCCACTTCAGTTGTCTTGGATTGTGTGACTCAGTCTCTGTAACCATGGAGTTTGAGTGACTGGGGTTAGGGATGCCCTGTGACTTTTGCATGTCATACAGACACTTACTTTTGCCTTGATGGATCCTCCTTTTTTTTTTTTTTTTTTTTGTCTTTTTTCTTTTTTATCAGTACCAGGGATTGAACTCACAACCACACACTTGCAAGGCAGGCGCTTATGCCCCTGAACTAAATCCCCAGCCCCTGGACCCCTTCTTTTGTTTAAAAAAAAAAAAACCACCAAAATTATCTTTTGTGACTACATTGGTACTGAGATGACTATAACCCACCCTGGTTTAAAAAGTGAAAGTGGGCTGGGGGTGGAGCTCAGGGCAGAGCACTTGCCTAGCATGTGTGAAGCCCTGGGTTCTCTTCTGGGGGTCAGGGGTGAGCAGGCAAGAGAGAACAACGAAGAGAAGAAAAAAAAGAGAGGGAAGGGAAGAAATAGAAGAATTAAATTTTTGTGTCTCCTTAAAGTAATTACAGGCTCAGCATCTGGGAAAGAAAGCAGCTCCTGAATCTGGGTAATGGGCTCTTCCATTAAGGGTGTTCTGCCTAGGACTTTGGTTGTGGGTTTGTTAATGATTTTCAGAGATCTGTTTATCTGGGAGAGTGGTCATGGGATAATGTCACGTGAAAACAAATCCCAGCTCTGTATCTGTGTAGCACATTTTCATTTTTGGTAGATAAATCCTAATGCATCGAAGTGGCCAGAAGTACAGCGAACTTTAATAGCACTTATAGGGATAGTGAGGTTGGGAAGAAAAGTTCATCCCTAATTTTCTAAAACTGTTGAAAAGAACATATAACTTTAAAAACTTAAATTTATGTGCACTTGTCTTTAGAAAGGATGTTATGGGAACAGAGCTGCTTTTTACAGGCTGTTGTGTATACCAAGTATCCAAAACTCTGAGCTGAGAATTGCATTTGGTAGTATGAGCCCTGCTTTCCTGAAATCTGGCAGCCCGGCCTATGTAGCCTGTATGTAGGACTGGGGAGTAGAACGTGGCCGTTCGTCAGCTTTGTGACCCTTCTTCAGGTCTTTGACTCCCTGGAGTACTCGACATTTTAGTACATCTTTAAGTTACCTGTAAACTACTATTGGTGTCTTCATTTTTGGTGATGGAGAAATTGTGGTTCAGAAAGGTTGAGTAATCCATCCAAGGGTGCAGAGTGAGTTTGAGACAGGGCTGGGATTTAAGCTTGGGTCTGTCCACATCTTTTTCACCACATCCCCTCCGTCCTTTCAGCTCTGGTATTCAGGGTCTGCTGGGTAGCAGACGAAGCCTCCAGTAATCTCTGTGTCTTCTGGATTCTCAGAATTTCAGCACTTCTGTTCCTAAGCAAGCAAGACCTCTGAGCTGTTCTGGAGCCAGCCTTCTCTGGAGCGAGGCAGACGTGATCCAGGCGACCAGCAACTTCCACCCAAGCCACAGGATTAGTAGCAGCACATTCGCTGATGTGTACCGAGGGCAGAGGCATGGGGTGCCCTTGGTTGTCAAGCAGCTCCGGGTGGTAGGTGAGGGGGCTTCTCCAGGCACTGTGGCTGGACATAAGGGGCCAGGCCTTTGGCACCGATGCCTGTCTCCCCAGGCAGCCTGCTCTGCTTCAGTGTCACTGGAAAGGTTCCTCCGGGCAGAAGTGCAAGTTTGCCTCAGGTGAGTTCCTTTTGGGAAGCACTGTGTAGTGGTGGCGAATGGTAACCTTCGCGTAGTGCCTCCTGTGTGCCGGGCACGGTTCAGTTGCTCCATACTGATTGTCTTAGTCTGTTTTCTGTGCTATAACCGAGACCACACAGCAGGTGAATGTGTTAGGAACATGGGTTTATTTATCACATGGCTCTGGGGCCAGAAGTCAGGAACATGGGGCTCTTATCTGGTGAGGGCCTTGTGCTGCATCACAGGGAGCAGCAAGCCACCAGCTCACGTCTTGCCCCACCACCGGGGTCCACTGTGGTGTCCTCCCAGTTCTTCCCCAAAGGCCCTGTCTCCAATACCATGAATGTGGGTTTGGGGATTACATTTCCAGCACATAAATTTTGTAAGACACATTCAAATCACAGCACATGTGAACTTGTTTACTCCTGACAAGAGCTGCATAATGGGGCTGCTGTTATGACATTGTTTTACAGATGGGTAAACCGAGGTATGGAGATGTTAAGATCACAGGGCTAGGAAGTGGCAGCAGCAGGAGTTGAACGCACGTGGTCTGTCTCCAGAGCCCGTGCTTTCTGTGTAACGTGCATAGGGAGAGGGGACTAGAGAAGGATGGGAGAACTCTGTCTCTGGGCCAAATTTGAAATAGGCCATGACTCACTGACTGCAGCTCGACTGGCAGAGCCATCTTAACTGGGAACCTGCTAGATGGGCTCAGGGAGGCAGGCGAGGCTCATCTGTGGGTCTCCTTGATGTCTGGTCCTTACCTTGTGCTGCTGGCTGCTTTCAGATGCTGCCACGCCAATGTGTTGCCTTTACTGGGCTTCTGCACTGGAGGACAGTGTCACAGCCTGATCTACCCCTACATGGCAAATGGTTCTCTACAGGACAGACTGCAGGGCCAGGTAAGGGTTGTTGTGGTCAGAGACAGGAAAGAGCAGTGTCTTAGTCTTGGCCAAGGACTCACAGGAAGGGGGGCCATGCAGGTAAGGCATAGGAGGGGTTTGTAAGAGAAACTGGGCCACGAAAATGCTTGCAGGATGGCTTGCCCATGGGCTGTCACTCAAGTCAGGATCGAGGCAGGGGTATCACAGCACTGGTGCTGTTCCTTGCTGCTCTGGACATGGTGGCCAGTGCAGTAGGACAGCAAAAAGAGCCCAGAGGTAGGAATGTGGGAGAGGAGGCAGATTTTTATGGTATGTGTTAATCTAGAGTGTTCCTTGCTTGTGTGTTCACGGGGTATCTCTGGAGACAGACATACACAGCTGGTATGTTTGCTGCTTCAGATAGCGGTAGTGCAGGATTGGAGGAAAGCTTTCATTATATGCCTTTAATGTATCTTTAGAATATTAAATCACATAAATGTACTACCTCTTTTTTTTTTTTTTGGTGGTTCTGAGGATGGAACCCATCCTTGTGCCTAATAGATAAATGCTCTACCATTGACATATACTCCTGACCCTTTTAAATCTTATTTTGTGACAGGATCTTGCTGAGTTTGCCAGGCTGGATTTGAAGTCTTGATCCTCCTGCTTTACCTTCCTGAGTAGGGGGATCATAGGCATGTATCACCATGCCTGGCTAAAAATTATAACTTTAAACAGAGAGTGGTAATGCACGCCTGTTATTCTAGCACTTTGGAGGCTGAGGCAGGATGGTCACTATGAGTTTGAGGCCTGAGCTACATAGTTCAAAGCCTGAACCAAGGGACTGGTGATAGAGTTCAGCAGCACAGCACCTGCCTGGCAAGCACAAGGTCCTAAGTTCAATTCCTGGTACAAAAAAAAATTAATAAATAAAAATAAAAACACAACACAGCTGTCATTTCCATTGGCAGAGGTCAGGCTTCACTGTCACCCACCGTACCCCGCTAACTGCTGGCTTTGCAGAGCCTTCTTGTATGAGGTGTCTCGAGGAGGCCCTCACCTGCATCATTTCCCTTGGGCCTTGCCAGCCATCAGAGAAGTGTTTTCCCGTTTTCCAGAAGCTGAGTCTCTGGCACACAGAGGGCAGGAGCCTTGCCCCAGGAGCATGGTCATAGCATCAGAGCAGGCCTTCCTTGAGCTGTGGTGGCCTCAGTGTGCTGTCACAGAGTCCAGGCTAGCTCTTAGAGGGTGTGGATGCTCAAGCCACAGGTGAAAGCAGGTGCCAGTGTAGCCCAGGGACTCAGCCTTAGTGTGACAGCAACAGCCCAGCGTGGGCACAGAGCTTCAGCCCTCCTGTCATCCTCCCTGCCTTGTGATGTTGCCCCCAGGACGCGCTAACCTCTGAGCTCTCAAGAAGCCCCTGCCAGAGGGGAGGCAGAGATGCTGTCATACAGGTCAGGGTCCATCCAAGCTGCTGGATTTTGAGCACCTGTTATGCGAGGGCTCCCTGGGGCCCCTGGAATCATTATAGTATCTGTGAAATATGGGTACATATGTCTTTTGTTTTTTGTTTTTCTTGGGAATGAGGATCAGAACCTAACATATGATGTTGCAGATTCTTGGCAGGTGTTTTGCTGCTGAACTGTGCCTCTGCCCATCATTTCCACTTTATATGCAAGGAGACAGGACAAGTTAGGAGTGTTTTCTAGTTGCACAGCTATTGAGACTGCATCAGACCTTATAGGCAGGCCTGTCTGCTGTGAGATGCACAGCCCCGTCTCAGCAAGCTGTGCGGGAGAGGATAAGATGGGCAGGGCAGAGGAGGCCTGGGAGTGAGGATGCAGCCTGCGGTGCTGTGTGACCCTTGTTCCTCTTCTTCTTTCTCCTAGGACAGCTCAGACCCTCTGCCCTGGACCCAGCTTGTCAGCATCTGCTCAGGGCTACTGTGTGCTGTCGAGCACCTGCATGGCCTGGATATCATTCACGGCAACGTCAAGAGGTGGGAAAGGGGCTGGCTGTGAGGCTGAGCCCTGTTACGGGGCATACCCGCTGCCTGTCTTCTCTGGGGCACTCTGCCCACCTATGTGTGTGTTTGTTTGAGGGCTATGGCCTGGGTCTGCCTCCCCTCTGCACACAGGGCCTATCTGTCCTCACATTAGGCTTGCAGAAGCTATTCTTCTGCAGCACACCATCTGCACTCCACTGCCTTTCCTGTCCACTCAGTAGCCAGCTTGGACCTCATCCTCACACTTGCAACCATGTCCGACACTTGGAACTCTCTGTTTGGACTCTTCTCAGTGACCCTGCCTGTGTATCTGTTTGTCACACCAGCTTGTTGGGAAAGCACCCTGTCCCCTAGTATCTTAGCACCATCTGTCTAAGAGTAACAGAGCCCCACCTGGGGCCTGGCCTCATGGGAGAGATTCCAGAAGGTTCCAGAAAATTCTGCCAGAAATAGCCTCCACCTGTGGGACTCAGTTCCTCAGAGTCCTCTCTGTTTGGCATGTGAAGCATGAAAGCCCTTCCTTTTTTCCTCTACCCTGATTTCTGTTTGATCACTCCAACCTTTGTACTGGACTGGCAAGAAAGAAAACAAAAATCAAAGGCTTCAGGGGCCTACTGCTGTGACTCATTCAGTGACCTCTGGTTTTCATTTCTTTTCCTTTTTGTGGCTCTAGGATGGAACCCTGAACTTGTGTGTGCGAGGCAGGTGCTCCACTGTTGAGCCGATCCCCATCTGTTTCACTTTTCCCCCACACAGGTCCAGAGCCCTAAGTAGCACAGGGACCTGCTTACCAATTTGTCTTGTTTTCCTCCCTATTTGAACATGGTGAGCATTTCCTTTTATGGTATATTATCCGTGTTTTTTCCTTTTTAGCATCCCTTGATGGGCATTGCCCATAATTTTACTTACCCACTCTTAAGAGTTGATATCAGAATTGGTGTCTACTGTTTAAACTACTGTTTGGGATTAGTTCCACACATGTAACTTGGTTTACCCTGCTCTTTGGAATATTTTCTCTGAGGTAACTCCCACTGACTAGATGACTGGATCAAAGGATATATATTTTTTTAATTTAAAGAGAAAAACAAAACTAAATGAAGCAAGACAGTAAAAGGCTAGAAGCAACACAGAATTTCAAGAGAAAAAACATACAGTAAGAGTTCACCAGTTAATAGATCACACATTGTCAACTTACAAACAGCTGTCCAGATTACAAAATTAAAGCATACAAAGTGGAGATTAATACAGTGAGATTGCAGTCAGTTCTGTTCAATGATCCAAGAAAAACTCAGCAATATGGTTCTTTTTCCTACACATTTAAATAAACTTGCAGTTATATCCTTGAGATCACTTTCCTTCCTCTCTTTTTTTACACTAACAATAGCGCATTTTAGTTTCCATTACTTCCACAGTTTTTTTAACTTTTTCTTTGAAGAGGAAAAGAAAAAAGATTGAAAAAAAGGCCAAAAAACAAAAACCAAAACAAGACGGACCAAAGAAAAACCCAATGTGACAAAGCAAAACAGAGTCATTTAGATCAGGAGGATGGACATAGCATAAAATGAAAAAAAAAAAAAAAGGGATTACTAGGTGATCAACAATGGTTACCATTATGCTTCTTGTTATCCTAAAAAAGAGTAGCCTATATCAGCTAGTATAAAAGAACTGAACAAAACTGTACATAAGACCAATAAAACCACATTGGAGAGCTTACAGGATTCCAAAGAAGATAATAGTCAAATAATAATAATGGGCATCATAGAATATCTGGTTGCCTTCCAAATGGTTGCCTATACCCTCAAACTTGATACTATTAAGCGAAACAGAATATAATAAAATCAGTCAGAACAAGATATGGAGAACACTACAGGGGTTCAAATCAGGATATTTTTATTGACCCTTAACATGTTTTGAAATTGCTTTTGTTCTGCCTGACTGGGCAAGTTTGTCACAAAGGATGCTAATAGGTAGACTTCTGTCAGCCAGCCAGAGGTAGAGGTCAGCAGCTTTGGAAGTCAGCCAGCAGGCACAGGCTGCAGGTTGGCAGGCTGAGCTGATCGTGGACCCCTCCGGGGATCAGGGAGCTGCACTTCTGGGCTGTGCAGCTTATTTGCTGGAGGACTGGACTGCAGTGCACCGCCTCCTGGTAGCAGGGCTGGCTCAGAAACGCTGTGGTGAGGGTCTTCATAGCCCCCTAGCAGGGGCTCCAAACACTCAGCGCTGTCGTTTTCCAGAATGGTGTCTGTGGAACGTCCTCTAACTCAGAATGAGGGTTCTTTGCTTCTTGTCACAGCTCCAACATTTTGCTGGATGAAGAATTCACCCCTAAGCTGGCTCATCCAGTGGTTCAGTTGTGTTCTGTCGACAAAAGGTCAGAATACACGGTGATGAAGACCCACCTTTTCCAGGCCTCTGCAGCATATGTGCCAGAAGATTTCATCAGGGTCGGGCAACTGACCAAGCGCGTGGACATCTTCAGCTGTGGGATAGTAAGGATTTCCTTCCTTGCACCCCTTTGTCGACCCCTAGCTTCTTGGAGAGCAGAGCATACAGTTTTTGCTTTTGTGCCAGGCCCTATCAGGTCCACTGTGTCTGTGTACATGCAATGGAGTCTTGGGCCTTGTTCGTGTTCAGCAAAGGCTCTGCACTGAACCATACTTTCACTGTTTCTGGTTTTTTTTTTTTTTTTTTTTTGGTAGTACTGGGAATCAAATGAACCTGGGGCCTTCACACGGTGCTGCATCTCCTTCCCTTCCTGTTTTTTTTTTATCTTGGGATAGGATCTCATTAAGTAACTCAGATGCTCAGGCTGGATTCAAACCTGCAGCACTCCTGCTTCAGCCTCCCAGAGTGCTGGGCTTACAGCTGTCTTATTTTTTGAGATGTGATCTGACTGTGCTGCCTGGGTTGGTCTCAAACTTGTGGACCCTGCTTCCTCAGGTTCCCATGTAGCTGAGATCTCAGTCATGTACTGCCATGTCTGGCTTCCATGGAGGATTTTTATGGTCTCTGAGCTAAGAGTGGTGTGTGTGTGTGTATGATAATACAGGTATATATGATAGTATATGGTAATATATATATGATTATAAAAAATAGGATATGTGATAGAGACTGTGTGCGACCCACAAAGGCTACAATAATTACTGAAGCTTGCTATAAAAATATGTCAGCCCTCGAAGTAAAGATATTTATGACTGTCCAAAATTTTGTAGGCTGTGGTAGTATCCCCTGACTTCTCTGATTTTAGTCTAGGCATCCATCCTGTTCCCTGTCTACTTGTCTTTGTTCATGCTCTTTTCTCATTACTGGGACAAAATACCCGATGTCTGCAGCCTAGCTGGAGAGAGCTGATCTGGCTCATGGTGCGGGCTTCAGCTTTAGCCAAGCAGCATGGTGGATGAAAGCTGTTCAGCCATTGGGGCTGGGGGTTTAGCTCAGTGGCATAATCGCCTGCCTTGCAAGCAGGCAGTCCTGAGTTCGATCCCCGGTACCGATAAAAAGGAAAAAAGACAAAAAAAAAAAAAAAAAGCTGTTCAGCCATGGTAGCCAGGAAGCAGAGACAGAAAGTGTGGGTTGTGTTGGGCTCCAAACCCTAAGAGCTCGGTCACCTGTTCAGCCATTTCCCCACCATCTGTTGACCCCCTTGTCCATAGCCACCTGTCCATTCAGTGTCTGTGTGCCATCTAGTGTCCTCCTGCCACTTCTGCAGCCCTTCCTTCCTGACCACTCGCCAAGCACCTGTAATGTTAGTGTCACTAAAATACAGTCATGGCCGGGACCTCACGATTTGAGTGGAACAGTCTCCAAAACGTGTCTCTGTAGAATGCACCCTAATTCCATGAGAGTGCTGTAAGACGGATGTTACAATAGCTGGACAGGTTTTGTGGATGGTGTGGAAAATGCTAGGTTAAGCAGAGTTAAGCAGATCTCGTTACAAGATTAGTTAGCGCCTCCTCCCCTCCTCTTCTCTTTTTTTTCTCTCCTTCTAAGGGTTGGACTTGAATTCATGATTGTTCTGCCTCAGTCACCTATTGTGCAATGACCGCCCATCCTAGTTAAGTAGAGACTCCGTGAGCCTTTAATCTGGTCACTGTGGGTTCACCGTAGAGGGCTGTGCACTGACTGTGGAACTCTGTTTTCTCAAAGCATCATTCAGCCTCTCATGGAAAACATTGGCTGACCAAAGGAAAGTCTGGCCTTAGCTGGCTGTACACAGCGGTGTGCGGGCTGTCCTCTGCAGTCTCCAACTCTGCACTTCCCCTCTCTGACCATAGCCTTGTGTCTGTTCACATCAACCTCCAGAGGGCTCTTCCGGAGCCAGCTTCCACCTTTGCTGGGCCTTGTGTCCTGTCCCCAGCTCGGTGGTCTCCTGAACTCCCTGGAGAAGTTGCTATGTGGAGCTCTGCTGTGCTGGCCCACGCTTTTACTCCTAAGAGCCAGCCGAGTAACCCGTAGCTGCGAGGAATCGTGGCCTCGGCCCCACTAAGCTACTTACAGTTGTGTCACCTGCAGGAACTCATCTTGCCTGTGCATGTTTGACCTTCTGTAAATGAGATAATGATGTGTGAAGAGCGTGGCATAATGTGTGCACACTGGTTAGTGCAGTGCCCTGCACACATCCAGACTACTATTATTATTACTATTGTTATTATTTTTAAATTTCTGGCATGGCGGGGGCTGAGGATTTAGCTCAGCAGCATGAGCACCTGCCTTGCAAGCAGGCGGTCGTGAGTTCGATCCCCGGTACTGATAAAAAAAAAAAAAATCTGGCATGGGAATTGAGCCCAGGGCCTCGTGCATGTTAAGCACAAGCTATGTGCTCTGTGGCACCCTGGCCTGTTAGTGTTACTCTAACCTTTATACCCTTGCTAGTTCTGTTCATTGAAAGCTTTCTGATTGTTTCCAGTGTCACAGTTGACTTCTTGTTCACCGTCCCTTCCTCCTGGTTTCTGCAGCCATCCTCCTGGGGGCCCACTGCTCCTTTGCTTAGCCCAGCCCCTGGCCCATGACTGTGATGTTGAGCTTTGGTTTTCCTTTGAGGAGCACATTGCATTTCCCAGTGTTTTGTTCATTTTGTGTTTCTGTTTTCTTGCAGTACCAGGAATAGAATTCAGGGCCTTGGACATGCTAGCAAATATTGTGATACTGAGCTACGTGTACCTCTGCCCTTTCAATATGCTTGGCGAGCCCTTCCTGAGCCGGTGCTGTAATGGGCTTGCCCCTGCAGGGCCACATCCATCTCCTCTGCCTGGCAGAACTTGGTTACTTTCAGCTGGCTCTGACACCACTTGCTGCAGAGGTGCCCCCTCCTGGTCAGGGTGACTGTGTTAATAACCTGGTCAGCTCTGCAGTGTGTGGGACACTATTCTGCTTCCACAGGATTTTTAGGAGAGATTTGCCGCTAAGAGTAGTGTGTTCACTCCTCTTTACAACCTTTAGAACCCTACTTAACAGTGGGAAGACACTGAGATTCAGAGTTTAGCTACTCTCCCAAAGGTCATCTGAGCAGTGCGTAACAGTAGCATTTGAATCCGGACTTGTCTGGCTTTAATCATGTGCTGCTGTCTCTGTGGAGAATTGTTTGGTTCAGAGCAGGCTTCCTGTTCATGCAGATGTGTCATGCTCGTTAGTTTCATGGGTTCAGGTTGTGCTTCTAGGGAGTGGAGCAGTAATGAATAAAGAGCATTAAGGAAGCTGTGGAAGATGCGCTATAAGTTCACTGAGACTTTGCCTACAGAGTTCAGACCTGCAAGAGTGTGCCATCTTTCCTGAGATGGACAGGGCAGGCTTGCTGTTACTGATGGATTCTTAAACAAAATAAATTTAAAAAACTGACATGTGTAAGTCAGGCATGGTGGTGCACTCCTGTAATCCCAGCACTCAGGAGGCTGAGGCAGGTGGATCATTGCAAGTTCAAGACCAGCCTGGGCTACAAAGTGAGCTCAAGTCCAGACTGACCTGCATAGTGAGACCCTGTCTCAAGAAAAGAAACAAAACAAAAACTAACACGTGTGTGTGTGTGTGGACAGCCTCTGCTCGTGGCCAGATCCTCCTGCTCCTTCATGCCTGAGCATCTGACTGAGTGTGTTCTCTTCTCTGCAGGTGCTGGCAGAGGTCCTTACTGGCATGCCTGCAATGGACAGTGACCGGAGCCCCGTGTACCTGGTAAGGGAGTGGTCCTCAACAGCTAATACCATGGAGTGGGGAGGCTGTGCCTACCTAGGCAGCCCTCAGGTCGGGAGTTTGATTTCCATTTGTGCAGAATAGCTTTAAAGCCAAGCCCCACCAATTTTTCATGCTAATGGCATTTAGGGTGCCTAGGAAAACTCAGTCCTTCTCTACCTACTAGACAGTTAGGTTTGTTCTCAACTTGGTGAAAGTGTATTTCAGCCCCTTTAAACAGGTTTCTATAATGAAAACTGTACTTTTCCCTTTGTAGGTCAAAGATCTCTGACACACACATGCACCCATATAATGTCATTTCAGAAATACCACACTGCAGTTGGACTCTTCTGCGTGTAAGCCACTTTACATAAGTTATCTTTCTGGATTATTGAAAAATCCTCATGATAGGATTATGGCATTGGTCTGCAGATGAAAAAAGTGGGCTTGGAAATTTGCAGGCATTCTTGGCATTATTGAACCTCAGAGTGGGGTTCTAGTCAGGTCTCCGGGCTCTAGATTAAGATTTCTCTCTCTTTCTCTCTCTCTCTCCCCCAACCCCCTCTCTCTCTGTGTGTGTGTGTGTGTGTGTGTGTGTGTGTGTGTGTCTGCCTGTCTTGTTTCTGTCTCTAAGGGTTTTGTGTGGTTCAGCTTGAACTTGAACTCACTGTGATTCTCTGACCTCATCTCCTGGATGCTAGAATTATAGATGTGCTCCAGCACACCTTGCTATTTTGGTTGTTTCTTAGGATTGTTCTGTTCCCTCCTGGGCCCTTCTCCCTTTTCTTTCTGTATGTCATTGCATTTTTGCATAAAGTGTGTCATCTGTCCCATATAGACCGTCTCACAGTCAGGTTTCACTGATGACATCCTTATGGTATTGTATGTGTTTCATTCTTCCTCATATTTCCTGTGCTTGAGACTGACTTTGGGTTCATGGTCAGTGCTTTTCTCCAGGACACTTCCGGGGCTGGGGAGGCTTCCCATGGCCACACAGCCCGGGTGCTTGGCCTGGCGTCCTGTCTCAGGGGCAGTTAGAGAGAGGCTGACTTTCTGTTGTGAAGCCCTGGAATCAACCTGAGACTCATCCTCAGCTTTCTTGCAGCTTGCTGGATGAGATCTGTCTTTCCACTAGAGGACTCTGAGGTGGTGAGCTGTCCTGTTGCACCTGTCAGCCAGACACAAAACACAAAACAAAACATAAATTAAAAAGCCAGATGTAGTGGCACATGCCTGTCCTGTAATCCAGCACTGGGGAAGCTGAAACAGAAGGCTGGCAGATTCAAGCACAGCTTGAGCAATCATGTAAGACCTTGCCTCAGAGTAAAAAATGAATAACCAAAGGGCTAGGATGTAGCTTGGTACAGGGGCCTCAGATTCAATCCCCAGTACCACTAAAAAGAAAGAGCTAAAATTGTTATTGGAAGTAACAACTGTTATTTTTGGCAACCTGAACTCTGGTTCTTATTTTAGGTATGAATATATACACATAGCTCATATTATATATTTATTTATTTTTGGTCTCACCTATGAATACTCATTTATATACAGTATTTATACTTAAATAATTTATATTTTACATTATGATCTGGCCCATGGATCAGTCCGCGGGGTGTACCTGGAGGGGGAACGGGGATGATAAAGAACAGGGGGGAGACAAAGACAGATGGAGACAAGTTGAGGAGTCCAATCAAGTCTCGTTTATTCAGGAAGAGGTTGCAGCTTTTATGGGCCAAGGGCAGGCTGGTGGGACAGGAAGAAGCTACGAGGTGGTTTCTGATGGGTCATCGTCACGTCCAGATATGTGACATAAGCAGGAGAGGATTATGGGTAATGTAGGCAGGCGCATTACGTGCCCATGGGAGAGAGAGGTGGGGAGGCAGCAATGGGGCTGTCATGCCGCTCCCTACAACATTATAGTATGAAATTTTATCAGGCTTTTGCATTTTATTTAGCATGAATAGACTATGTCTATGTGAATAGACTGTTTATAGCATACAGTATGTAATATATAAAGTATATTGAAATATGTACATATGTTCATGAAATTAACATGTAACAAATTGTTTTATAATATATAATTAAAAATATATATGGCAACTATTTAAAGTGTACACTATATTTTATATGACAAATATATTGCATGGAAATGTATGTAGAGGGCTGGGGATATAGCTCAGTGGCACAAGCACCTGCCTGGCAAATGTGAGGTTGTTTGATCTCTAATACCAAAAAAAAAAAAAAAATATATATATATATATATATATGTACAAATGTTATATTATTTACATAAATTATATTTGTGGAGACAAATAGAAAACATCAAATATGTTAATATTGTATAGTTAGAGCCAGGGATTTCACTCAGCAGTTCAAGCACTTGCCTGGTAAGCATGAGGTTGTGAATTTGATCCCTGGTATTAAAAAAATAAAAAGGTATAATTAATGCAGCATAACTCTGTTAAGAGTGTACATAATTATGTCTTAATTTTCTTATATTTAAGCAATGTATGTGTTTCATATAATGTGTTGGAACATATATATGTAAATATACATTCTATACCATATTATATATTAAATATATGTTATATAAAATATATTTTGTGCCAAATATATATTTTTATAGAAATATAATTATGTCATATCTTCTGTTGTATAGTTTTAAAAATTCTTACTATTGTGTATATATTTTACATATTTATAATTTTGTAATCATATATTTATAAAGAATAATAAATGTGTAGTTATATATTTTTGGAGGTACTAGAAATTAAACCCAGAGAATCATCACATATGCTGTCTATCATGAACTACAATTCCAGTTCTTATTAAAATTTTATTTTCAATGCTGGGCATGGTGTTGCAGTGCACCCCTCCAGTCCCAACATTTGAGGCAAGAGGATTACTGTAAGTTCAAGGCCAGCTTGGGCTATATAGTGAGGTGCTGTCTCAAAAAAAGCAAAATACAAAAAAACAAACCAACAAAAAACCCAATCACCTCCAAAAAAAAAAAAATCCCATAAAATTTTGAAACAAGTCTTCTTTGAGTTGCCCAGGCTGGTCTTGAATTTATGGTTTTCTTGCCTCAGCCTCCTGAATAATTGGGATAACAACCATATGCATATGCACCTGTGCATAGCTGTAATTATATATTTAAAATTTGAAATAAATAAATAAGCGAGTTTTTATGGTACTAGGGATTGAACCCAGCCAGGACCTTTCATAGAATATGCAAGCACTTTACCACTGAGCTACACCCCTACTCTTAAATCCTATATTTCAAAGTGTTTTGTACTCTAAGAGAGTATCCATTCTATGTAATCTTCAATTTTATTTTATTATTGGCATCAGAAATGGAACTCAGGACCTTGTACTTGTCAGGCAGATATTAAGGCCATTGAGCTGTATCTCTGGCCAGTTCTTCAATTTTAATTTAAGCACTCATGGGGGGAAAAAAAAAGAACTCATGCAAAATATTCCAGATGAAAAAGTTTCAGTTCTCATTTCTTGTCTTTGTCCTTGTTAATTTGTAAGTAATGTTATTTGTAACTCTCTTTGCATTTAGCAGCTGTGTGGAACCATTCATGTAAATTAGTCTTTAGACATTTTTTAAGGGTGGGCTGGGAGTGTAGCTTAGTGGCAGAGGACGTTCAGAGCCCTGGGTTTCAGCCCTAGAGTTGCAAAAAAGAAAAGCAACTCTGGAAGACTGAAATTCTGCTCTTATTCTTTTTGATGCTTACCACCCCTCCCCCAGAAGATTCCCAGCTTTTCTGTTTGCATTGATTTTGTTTCTCTTGGAGAAGCTGCTTGAGATCAGCAGGATCCATGATTCCATCTTCTGCAGGGTGGGTGCCATCAGAGAGAACTTAAGAACCTACTGTTTCTGGGCTGGGGATTTAGTTCAATGGTTCAAGTGCTTATCTGGTAAGCACAGGGTTGTGAGTTTGATCCCTGGTACCAAAAAAAGAAAAAAGAACCTACTGTTTCTTTTTGCCTCCTTTTGTCACAAGCTTTTTCATGTGTGTCATGGCACCAGCAGAGGCAGAAAGGGTCTATGTTAATTGCTAATAAGGTTACATTATTAATGTAAGTAGAGTGCTTGGTATGCAGTAGGTGATCATTACTACCAGTACTGTTTATCACCAGTAGTTGATTGTGTGGTTTCTTCCGCTTGAGGTATCATACCTTGTGCTTTAGGTACAGTGCTTTGCTAATGTTTCTGTTGGTCTTAAGAGAGCCATTTTTTTGACACCACAGAGGCCTGTGGTTGGAGGTATAGGTGTACTGTGGGCTGCATATAGGCAACTGAGTGATTCTCTACTTCCTGGTGTGGTGCTTGTTTCTGGGACCCTTGCATTTATGCTTTAAATGTTCAGTGTGTTTTTTGAGAAGCTGTTGGGCTCCAGGGCAGTCCTGGAGGTGGGTGGGGCAGGCATGGTAGCTGCTGTACCATGCAGCTCACTGAAGGCTTTTGCTTTCCTCCCACAGAAAGATTTACTTCTCAGTGAAATTCCAAGCTCCAGGAAACCAGGGGTTCAGAAGGTGATGGCAAAGGAGATCTGCCAGAAATACTTGAAAAAGAGAGGTGGATCCCTGCCTGAGGACTGTACTGAGGCCTTGGCCACAGCTGTCTACCACTGCCTGTGGAGGCGCAACAGTAGCTTGTGGGAGGTGAGTGTCGCTCACCTAGCCTCACTTCTCGGAGACTGTCTGGGTCTGCCTCACTGGAGACGGGTTTGCAGAGATAGGATTTCATACATCAGGACTGGATTTGGTCACGAGCAGCTTACTCCACACAGAGTACTAGTGCATGTCTGGTTGGAAGTCTTAGAAATTCAAACTCAAAAAGAAATAGAGCCAGACATGGTGGCACATGTCTGTAATCCCTGCAGCAGGGAGTCTGAGCCAGAAGGATCGCCAAGAGTTCAAGGCCAGGTTGGGCCGCATAGTGAGTTGAGGGCCAGACTGGAGTAGGGTGAGACCCTAGCTATAAAAACAAAGCCAGACCAAAGCTCCAACCAAAAAACCAAAACCAAACCAAAACCAAAACACAAACAGACATGGGAGGGGAAAAAATGAACAAATGAACCAACGAATAATGTGGCTCATTTAGCCAGACAGCAAAGGACCAGCCAGCCTTGCTCTGCTTTCAGAGCAGTTACACCAGTCTCAGCATCAAAGGTGTTATCTGTGGCTCTCCATCACTCATCACTTCTCTTTCTCTTTTGCTTTTTTTTTTTTTTTTTCTTGGTACCGGGGATCGAATCTCTTGCTGTTTGTTGACGCTTCATTTTCCTTTCCTCTAAACTGACGTCCACTGTTTAATGGAAGCCTGAGCTTTCATTAAAGACTGGAAAGCAGTCTTTACAGCTCTAGATGGAAAAAAAAAAAAAAAAAAAATCCCAAGGAAAGATTCTGATTGGCCATCTGGGTCACGTGCCCAATCGCTAGTATGAAGGATGGGGGGGGGGGTCCTTTGACTGGCCCGTCTCGGCTGCCGTACTCTCCCGCAAGGTGGAGGAGGGGCGAGGGCAGACGCGGCCTTCAGTTGCTCGCGTTGTTCTCTTGTTCAACCCAAGGCCCGGAGTTCCGTGGTTGCCGTGGAGGAGCGGCTCCGAGCGCCAGGCGCACTGCTGCAGTGGAGCGGGCTCTCTGCAGGTGCCGGCTGCCCCGCCAACACCCCCGTGGAGACCGGTGACGTAGACTTCGCGGGCCTCCAGGCTGCGGTCTCCGCGACGGCGGCGAACAGTGCGGGTACGGAGGCCGAAGTGGAGGGCTGCAAGCGTGCTTCTCTGGGGCCCGGGACAGTAGGCGCAGCCGCCGTCCGTCCTTCCCTCCCTTCCTTCCTGATTCCTTTAAAGATTCAGCCAAGCAGAAGGAAAACTCTACTTCTTGACCCCGCCCCATTTCCACACTTCATCACCTTCTCCATCCCCTTGCCGCCTGTCTCCGCGTCACCCTCCACTGAACTGCTGTCCTTCTGCCGGAACCACTGCAACCAACCCTGATCCTCGTTGACCCGCTGGGTTCCTTTCCAGTTCCTTCTCCAGGCCGCCTAGAGTATTTTTGGCGGTGGCTTTTTCCCTCTGGTGCTTGTGATACGGGGGAAATACACGTAACACCCAGCCTGCTGGGTGTCAGAAGCACCGAATCCGCGTTCCCCCAAATCGAGTGAATTTTAAGGAATAACGGAGATTAAGAGTAGGAGGTATTTATTGAGAGACAGGTCCTAAGAGACAGAGGGGGACCCAGAAAATAGGTTGCTGCAGACCCTCTTTCACACAGGGTGTTCTATAGAGTAAGATCCCGAGGTGGGTTCAAAATGGGTGAGGTAATACTGATCCAGTCTGACGTGGGAAGAGGGAGGAAGAAGAGAGGCTGTCTTTGAATGACTCTAGACCTGTACCCTGCTGTGGGGAGGGGACCCAGTGCTCTAAAGGTAGGAGTGGTGAATGTGGATCTTTCACTCAGGCCTGTAGCAGAGGCCTCGATTAGTGAGCCTCTGACTCAAGTCTGACCAAGTTTTTTTTATTACTAGTGGGGAGTTGGTGCACCTACAAAGCACATCTCTAGTCTTTTTACTTCTGCTTGCCTTGGTTCCCTCCCCGCTCCCTCTGTCTCTTGGTCCCCTTCCCATTCAAAAAAGAACTATCTCCCTGTTTCCTGTTGTCTTTTATTTTTCTCTTAAAATATAGTAATAAGTATGTAGTTTAGTTTTCTCACACACGAGGAACCATGAGATATTTTAGCTTGTATTTCTGACTTCACTTAACATCTCAAGTCTCAAGTGCATCAGTTTACCTGCAAATGACTTTTTATGCTTCTTTATTGCAAAGTAGTACTCCATTTTCTTTATCCATTAGTATATTGATAGACAATAGGCTGCTTCCAAGATTTAGCTATTCCAAGTCTGACTTTCTAGAAGCTATAATGGCCAATTTTGTTTAAGCTGTTTTTTACTTTGTGTTAAACTTTAGCTCCAGAGACTTCATGGAAAATTGAGATAAATGAAGCCAAAAGGAAACTGATGGAGAATATCCTGCTCTACAAAGAGGAGAAACTGGACAGCATTGAGCTTTTTGGACCCTGATGACTAGAAGAAGCTGAGGATTCTTGTCCTTGAGTGGAAAGACAAGTGTCTAAACCAGGAAATGGCTGAGGCAGAAACCAGTGTCTGGCAAGAAACACACAGAGCAAGCATTAGCTCTCCCAGTGCCCTTTCACTAATGAGCCAGGGAGAAGGGATCTCAGCTTTCTTTTCTGGCTTTTTTTTTTGGTGATATTGTAGTGAATCTATGGTATTGAATTAGGTCAGTGCTCTGCCACTGAGCTGCACCCCCAGCCATTTATATTTTTTATTTCGAGGTAGCCTCCATAAGTTGCCTTTGCTGGCCATGAACTTGTGATTTTTCTGCCTCAGGCTCCTGAGTAGCTGGAATTACAGGCCTGTGCCACTGTGTCTGCCCGCTATAACTTCAGCTTTTTTTTTTTTTTTTTTCCTAATTTTGTGTTTTGAAGCCAAGGCTTTCACACTGAGCTCTACCCCATCATTTTTTTATTTTTTATATTGAGACAGTGTCTTAGTAAGTTGCTGAATTGCCTAGACTGGGCTTCAACTTGAGATCTTTGAGCCTTACTACTTGGGGATTGTAGGGAGGCACCAACACACACAGCAGAACCTCAGGTTTTACTGACCAAGAAAAAACAAAAAATCCAAGAAGTGCTCATCCTGTCTGAGATTTGTAGGTCAGAGCATGGTATCATAGGATCACAGGAACAGAAGCTAAAAGCTTGGAACACAGGGCCAGGATGTAGGCTATTTGGGGTTCTGCGAGCCCATGATGGTAACCACCTCAATACAAACTGTTACCTCAGCAGCTATCACCTCTTGACAGTAGACAGCTGAGGAGAAGTTCTATGATGAGTTCTCCAGAATTAAGCCCCTGTGAGTCATATTTGCCAACAACCACCTGCAAACTTCCATTGCATGAAGATTTTTAGCTTGTGTCCCCACGCAGTTCTGATTCACCTGTCAAGATCTCAAGTTTTACGAATACCACCCACCTGGGAGAGGACTCATAGGCTTCCTGCACCCTCTGTTGGTAATCTTGCCACCCGTGGGTATTTATTAACTACCTGCTCAGTACCTTTATCCTTTCATCCCGCTATTTGAGAATGTGTTATTTATGGCAACATGGAGCATCGAGAGAATTAGTCTTATGTCTGATTTTACGGCTAATTAAGTTGATCATTTAATTTCTAGGGCCTCAGTTTCCTGGTAAGGTTTCAGCTCTTTTTACCTGCCTTAGTGTTGGGGGGATGGGTGCAGTGACGGCAGAAGCACTTTCAAAATGCACTTGTTCTGTTTTATAAGATAAATAAAAAGACATGAAATGTGTACTTCTGCTGTATCTAATGTCTATGCCTTGAGTATATTTTTAAACAGTCATGTTGCAGTCGTTGTGAGACATGCTACTTTTAGCTAAAAAAAATGTGTTAAAATAACTTGGTAGTGATTCTTTTTTCTTCATAAAATAACAGTGTCTCTAAAGCCAGTGATACCTTGTGACTTGTGTGTTCAGCTGACTGTTGGAGAGAAGGTTCCTAAGAAGGGTTGTGTCATCTCGCATGGCCAGGGAACCTTCCTCCTCTTGTCTCAAGTGGAGAGCACTGCAAGGGTGGGTAGGTCGAGCCTGGTGAGTGACAGGAGCAGGGGCTGACCTAGCAATCTGACCCCTCACTACAGCTCACTGTGGTTTCCTCTAATCACTGGGACAGTGCAGGGTTCCACCATCAGCTCACAGGTACTCCTACACAGGCTATTGTGTTCATGCTCCTGCATCCTGGGTGGTTTTTGTTTTTTTCATGTCTGTCACAGCCATTGTTCTGAGGTAATATAGGGAGAAAAAAGGTAGAAAAGACAAGGGAAATCATAATTTAAAAATTGTACTTTTAAGAAAACTAACGTGGAGTTACCTGCGGTTATTTATATCGGTATTCCATATGCTTGTTTACACTTCTTTCAGGCCTTTCACACCAAAATCCTTAGATACTAGCTAGGTCTGTTGGTTTAGTTGATAAAGGGCAGAGCTTATGAACAGATTGAGACAGTTCAAATTTGGGGGGGAAAACATTTTGGATCGCCCATTTTTGTGCTCGTGTATGTTGGCATTTTGAGACAGGGTCTTGCTCTGCATAGTTAAACTCACTATATCTGGAAGTGGCTATCCCCTGCCTCAGCCTCCCCAGAGCTTAGGTTAGCAGGCATGTGCCACCAGCTCAGCTTCCCAGCCAGCCAATTGGGACAAATAATCAGGTTTGTGCAACCTGTGGCCAGTGCAGCACTGTATGGCCCCCAAAAGTCAGGAACTTTTTGTTTTTTCGGAGACAGGGTCTCGCTGGCCATAACTTTATGGGTAGCCAGGCGGGCCCTGAACTCAGCAATAGTCCTGCCTCCGACTCCAGAGTGGATGAGGTGACAAGGCATACACCACCACGTCTGACTCTTGTAGTCTCAGTTTGAGCCACTGCTCTCTGATTTGTAAAAGAGTGGTGAGGGCGCAGGAGTTAGCGTGGGTTCCACGTGCGAAACCTCACTCCGAAGTTCGGGCGGCCCGCAACACCACCAAGGTAGTCAGAGGCGCTTAAGCGTGGCCACAGCTTAACGTTTAGGGGCCTCATGCCCAGAAAAGTGAGTGGCTCCGCCCCGTCGGCTTCCAGCCAATGGAAGGGCGCGAAGGGCGGGTTCCGCCTCCGAGGCGCTAGACCAACAGGCGAGCAGCGTCCTGCTCGGAGCGCCGGCCCTGTTCGTAGGCTGTGGGCGCCCTCAGTGGGCCCAGGCCTCGCTCCGCCGCGGTTTGCAGGGCTGCTTCCGGGGGCGGGCGGCTGGGCTGGCTGAGTGCTGGCGCGGTCCAGCGGGCGGGACCGGGCGGTGCTGAGTCGGGCGGGCTTGGCGCCGCCAGCTGCAGGGGAGCAGCGGGATCTGCAGGGCCGGCACGGGCCCGACTGCCGCTCGGGAAGCGGCCCTGCCCTCCGGCCTTGGCGTCCAGGGCCGGGGCAGCGACTCCAGGCGCCAGCTCCGGAAGCCGTCGTCGCGAGTCGCCCTGCGCACACGGGAGCGCGCCGCGGGCGTGGGCCGGGCCGCCGCGGGTGAGAGCCCGGCTCGGTGGACGTCTCTGGGGCGCGGGTTTCCGAACCTCGAGCACTGATGGGCAGCGGCCAGCACAAGAGGTCGGTAGCCCCCGGTCCGCGGCGGCGGCGGCGGGGGGCGGGAGTTGGGCGGCAAGAAGGCGTACTGGAGCCCAGGCCCCTCTGCCTCCTTCCAGGTGCCCATGGCGTCGGAGCGACACAGGGTCAGGCACCGCTGGAGCAGCCCTTCGGAAGGGCGCCCCCGCAAGCGCAGCTGCCTCCGGGGCCCCGGTGATGTGGCCCCCTCCAGCCGGCCGCCTCCTGGCTCTACGGCGCGCCCCCGAGCGGCCCGCGGCCTCGCGCGCCTGAAAGCCCGGGACCACGACGATGTGGCCTGGGCGCCCAAGCCACCTCGGAGCTCTTCGCGACGCAGAAGTTCCTCTTCCTCCTCGTCCTCCTCCCCCTCCTCCTGCTCCTCAGGGGCAGGCGTGGACAGGGCCGCCCCCCGAGGCTGCCTGAGTCGGAGCGCTCGGGGGTGCCCTGCGTCCAGGGGATCCCCTCTACACCCCACCAGTCCCTCCCTGGAAGAAATGGCTTCTCTCGAGGAGGTCGCCTGCAGCCTTAAGGTAAGCGGCCACCACGCCTTGCAGTCGCTGGAGCCGATTCCACGTGATTTGAGAGGTTGGGGTTGGAGTCAAAGTGATCAGGTCCTTAAAACCCCCGGCATCTTCCCTGCTCTACCCCAATCGGAAAGACCTCCAAGGACGGCCCGCAGCTGAGTGGAGAGGTAGCTTTCGAGCTTGGTGACACTTAGGAGCTACTTAAAGGCTGTAAAGTGCTTGTTGCCTGCCCTCCCACACCACAACAGACAAACTGAAGTAGTCTGGGATTCGGGATTTCCCGTCTGTGTCTGTGTCTACCTGTGCGGTGGGGGCTGGACCATCCCTGAAGTAGGAGGAGACAAATGATGTTTTGTGTTTCAGTTAGTGGTTTAGGGAATTGTGTGCCCTTGGAGTTTGAACCATTCTGAATGACAGATTCAAGGAATTTGGTTGTTGGCGTGGCCTTCACTAAAAAGACTGACAGGGCATTAAATTTTTGCTTTTGTTTTGTGATGATGGTTCTGTTTTTTGTTTTTTTTTTTTTTTGAGAATCCCTTTGTGTGTGTTGTTCAGGCTGGCCTCAAACTTGTGGTACTCCTGCCTCAGCCTCCCAGGTTATTTTGTTTTTGGAGGCTGCCAGTCTCTTCTTCACTAGAAATACATAGATTCATCAGTACTTGGGGCAAACTGAGGGGTGCTTCACATTCTATCCAGTTGTCTGTCAGGTTTCAGACAGAGACTTCCAGGGTCTGGCAGTGCCTGAATACTGCTCTCCTGGAGTCCGCATTCTGGATTTTGAGCAACCCTATAAAAGGTGAGGAGGAATTCTGTACCTGAAAGGGTCAGGAAAAAGCCTTACTTGAGGTGAGATAGGCTACCCATTGAGAAAGTTACTTTACACAGGAAATGCCCGCCAGAAGGGAATTACGATTGTTTTTCATCCTTCCTGGGTGGTTTCCTACATGCACCTGAGAAGTGAGGTTTTATTTGGTTGTTTATCCTGGGGAGCCCTTTGACTAGGTGCCCCAGATTTTTTCCATGTTGATCTCACAGCCTGAATTCAGTGCCTACATGAAATTTTTTTTTTTTTTTTTGTCTTTTTCCTTTTTATCGATATCGGGGGTTGAACTCACGACTGCCTACTTGCAAGGCAGGCGCTTATGCTGCTGAGCTAAATCCCCAGCCCCAACATTAATTTTTTTTAAATTTACAAATAATGGAGATGTGAAAAGGTGGCTTTAGGGTAAGAATACTAAAAATATGACTGGTGTAAATCAGGTAAATGTAGTTTTTCATGTAACCTATTTTTTTTTTCATGTTTTGAGACAAGGTCTTGCAATATCATTCTGCCTGGGTTTGAACTCACTGTATAGCCCAGGCTGGCCTTAAATTGACAGCAATCTTGCTGCCTCAGCCTCCCGATTGTGAGAATTACAGGCATGTGCCAGCATGCCTAGCTGATGTAATTTAATCTTGTCATTAAGCCATCCATGTGGGCTTGGATAGAGTGTCAGAGAATATCAAGTATATTTGATATCATTAGGTGCCTATTCAGGAGCAGAGTGCCTCATGACAGGGCTGTGGAGGTAGCTGTAACTGCTTCCCATTGTGTGTGGTGGGTAACTGGAGAGGTCTTGGGGACAGAGGGCAGCAAGATTTTAGCAGACAAGGGCATTCACAATTGTGTTCTGAGCTATTTGAGAGTTCCCATAGGGATTGACACAGGGGATTGACTGCAGTTATGGGGGAACTTGTTTTGTCTAATGAGTCCCAAGTCTGAGCAGCTGCCACTGATGGGCTCCGATGGAATCACCATATTCTCTTCTGGATCCTTTGAAGATCACCTTCCGCTCGCCTACTTTCTGCCCTCCTGCCTGTTCTGTGTCTGTGCAGGCTTTGAGGGGGTCACATCCTGGTTCTTTATGTGTGCCCAGGTGCAGTGCCAGGACACCTTCTGGACACAGTGTCCAGAAGGGCACTGTCTGTCTTTAGCGCAGTGCTCAGGGTGGCTGCCAGGGTCTCAGGAGCTCCCACTGAGCTACATTCCCAGCCCTGGGAATTTGAGAATCCCTAGAGATTTCTGCTGCCTAGCCTTACTCTGTTCCTCTTATTTCTGGGATATCTGATTGACAGGTTTTCTAAATTCTAATATTAGCTGATAATCCTTGTTTTCATGTTTATTTAGCACTGGATATTGGATCCAGGAGTAATCTACTGAACTACAACCTCAGGCCTTTTTCTCTTTTGGGTCTTGCTAAGTTACTAGATTGCCCAGGCTGTCCTCAAACTTGGATCTTGCTGCTGCAGCTTTTCAGGAGTGCTGGGATTGCAGATATGTGCACCCCTGTGCCTGCCTTTGTTTCTTGATCGACACATCATTTTAGGTGTAGTTCATTTCATATGTGTGTGTTAAGGACAGGAACGACCTCTCCATGTGCACTTTCCATCCTGTCTTCAGAATATACACTTCATTAAGCAGTTCCATCAGGAAAAGTGACCTATGCAGCTCAGGATGACCTTGAACTCACTATGTAACCTAGGGTGGCCTTGAACCTGTGGTGAGCCTCCTGCATTAGCCTCCCAAGTGCTGGGATTATAGGCTTGCAACACTACATCTAGCTTTAAAAATTCATGTATTAGAAACTTCAGTAAGTTCTGAGGTTCAAAATCAAAGTGTACCTTCCGTTTAGCACTCCAGAGTCCCAGCTGCCAACAATTAAGAGTACTTTATGAAAAAAGTACTACGCCTATGCTAACATTTTTACACGGATCCAAAGGTTTAATGATAGAAGAAGATACTACATGTTTCTTGGAAAAAATACAAAAAGTTTATAAAATAGGTGAACTTTTCCTGTTCTTGTCACTTCCCTAAGAGGAGTAGTTTGTTGCTTCAGACTTTGTTTGCAAATATATAGACCTAAAAGAATTTTTGTCTTCCAAAGTGAGATACTGCATAGACTTGTTAGTGTTTCGGTCTTCCCATATATATAGTTGGTCATTAGAGCAGTGTCTCTCTCTTGTCTTATTTATTTATTTAATTATTTTGCTGTTTTATGGTGTCTTTTTATGTACCCAATTCTGTTTTGATGGTCTTCTCTTGGACTGGGTCCAACTTTCCTAGCTTAGCCGAACAAGCTTGCGGTGGAGTTCCTTTATTTTGTCTTTTTGAGACAGGGTCTTGCCATGCAGTTCAGGCTGGCCTTGAGCTCACTTGGTAGCCCAGGCTGGTCTCGAATTTGCAATAATCCTCCTGCTTCAGATTCCTGAGTGCTGGGATTACAGGCTTGAGCCACCACACCCTGCTGAAGTTCCTTTTTCTTAGTATGTTTACTAAGTTGGGAGGAATTTAATACAAAAAGTTAGAAGTACAAATTGTAAGACCTGTAGAATTCCTAGGAAAAATAAGTGCAAGTTACCACTGTGGAGGTTTGGCAAGGGGGTGATTCTGGGGGAGATTTTTTTGAGACAGGTTCTTGCTGTGTAGTTCATGCTGGCCTTGAACTCACTGTGTAGTCTAGGCTGGGCCCAAACTCACAGTAATCCTCCTGCCTCAGTCTCTTAAAGGCTGTGATCACAGGTATGCACCACTTTCTGGGGGAGATTTGTTTCTTACATCAGACTGGATCTGAGTTTCACAAATTAATATTGCAGTTTAATAAAGCTGGAAATTGGGTCTAGCTTTTCCCCTGAGGGCAAAAGAAGGGACTGAGACTTCTCTGGTAGTCTCTGGAGAGATGGGGGAGGTATGAAGGGGGACTAGATGTTCCTGATGGAGCTTGGTGCAGTCTCTGGGAGAAGGTCGTCTGCCCAGCACCAAGGTGTGATCTGAGGACGGTGTTGGCAGACACTTGAAGGAGGTTTAGGGTAGGGTGAGAAGAACTTCCAGGCTGTGGGAGTGGGGGGAGCCTGAGTAGGAGCTGTAGTCTTCTTGGCCTGCCCTTTCTCTCCCTGGGTGCTTAGAGTTCCTGGACTTGGAGATAGGTGGTTTCACTGAGAAGATTTGGGGTTGTTGTGCTATCTCCGGGTGGGATAAGGCATGTGGCAGGCCTTGCCTCCAGGAATTGGTGGTCTCGTCTCTTTAGACTGCTAATGTCAGCTCTTTCCTCCCTATCATGCGCAAGGGCACATCTGATGAGCTGAGAAGGCGAGGGTTACACAGGCCAGCAGCTCACCGCTTCGGCAGTGGCCCTGCTCCCTGGGTGGGAGCATCTTTTTCTCAGCCACTGTCACTTGCCCTTCACTGGCAGAACTCCCCTAGATTCATACTAGGCCAAGTGCTTCGTCAGTGAAACTGCTCTCAGGATAGACTGCCCTGCCCTTTTTTTTCAAATCTGTTTTATTTCAAAGAGAAAAAAATTAAAACATATCCATCAAGGGCAACAGTGGTACATACATTGTGCAGTGGGGATGACTCTTTGAACAGTTTTTTTCCTTCCAGGTTGATTCCAAAGGTAGTTCTCGTAACTCCATCAACTCTGAGTTTGCAGCTGAAGCTGAGGGTCAGAACGATGTGATGGAGCCGGACAGGGTCCAGAAGAAGAAAAGGGATAGGCTTCGGGACCAGGGCTCCACCGTCATCTATCTGAAGGCCATCCAGGGAATCCTGGGGAAATCAGTGCCCAAAAGGAAGGGAGAGGCAGCCACTTCCAGGGTGAAGCAGAGCCCAGGAGAGCAACCCAGCCAAGAAGGAGCAGCCCGCAGTGTCGCAGTCACTGCTCCCAGTAAGGAAAGAGAGCCATCCCCGCAGGTCAGGACGGAAGAGGAAAGGCCTGTGCTAGATGAGGGCCACTTCTGTGACAGGAGAGTGGTTATCGACCCTCAGCAGAAACCCAGCGTGGAGCCGTCCGGGGGCCCGGTGACGATCATTGAGAAGCCGGCTCCAACCTTGGAGTTCGTGGATGATGCCGACTCGCATCTAGAAACCCCAAAGGTAAGTGAAGCACGCAGCAAGCGTCTGGGCTTGTAGTGCTGGTTAAAATATATTGGGTCTTTCTGGTTTGGTCCTAAGTTGTGATGTTGTTGGCAGTGCTGAGGATGACTTCCAACGGCGTCACAGGTCAACTCTGAGCCAGTTACCTATCCCACTAAATGTTACTGGTGTGAGACAGTTCTTGGAAGACTCAGGTGTCTGAGACAGTCTTTATTTTATACTGGACCTTAATATCAAGTTTGGTTTTATTGAAATGCTAAGTTGGAAGTCATTTTGGGGAGGGAATTCTGAAAGCATTGATCCTGTGTCTTTATTTTTAGTTTTGTGAGATGTCTAAAGCTATTCTGATTCCTGATACTTAGTGTAAGATGGTTTTATTTCTCCCTGCAATCTTGTGGAATGTTTCTTTTTTTTTTTTTTTTTGTCTTTTTCCTTTTTATTGGTACCGGGGATCGAACTCATGTCTGCCTGCTTGCAAGGCAGGCGCTTATGCCACTGAGCTAAATCCCCAACCCCTGAATGTTTCCTTTTTTAAAAATCTTTTTAAAAAATAGTTCGGCCAGAGATTTAGCTCAGAGGCATAACCCCCTTGCCTAGCAAGGGCGAGATTGAGTTCGATCCCTGGTTCCAAAAAAAAAAAAAAAAAATTAGTTGATGTTTTGTAGTGTGAACAGCGCTGTTCCTTTTGGGAAATCAGTTCATGTATGTATGTGACTTATTTTCGACTCCTCCCTCCCTTTTTCCTCCGCACCACTCCCTGGCCCCCTTCCCCATCTCTTAAGATTCTTTTAGTTTCCTGGCGTCTCTTTTTTATTCATTTACCTATTTTTTATTAACACGTGTTTGCAGTACATAGGTTACATTTATTGTGGGTTTTCGGTCCCCTTCCCTCCTTTCTCCCTCCAACTCTTTTTCCTCTCTTCATTTGTGAAGTTCTATTTCCATTTTTTTCTTCAACTCATTTTTAAAATCTCTTTCTCCTTCCTTCTTTTTTCTCTGTCTCTTTTGTTTTCTTTTTTGGTACCGGAACTTGAACTCGGGACCTTGTGCTTGCCAGGCAGGGCTGTGCTGCTGCCCCAGCCCCTCTTCTCTGCGTCTTATTCCTCTTTCCATGTGAAGAATATCTCCACGTTTCATGATGTCTTTTATTTTGCTCCTTATTTATTTTTTTGGGTTTCTCATTTTAAAAAAATATTTAAAATTTATATTTTAGGTTTGTCATGTAAGAGGAGATGTGAGTTTGGCTTATTTCATTTAGCGTGCTGGTCTGGAGCTCCATCCATTTTCCTGCAGATGACACGACTGCGTTCTTTATTGCTGAAATCCTGTCATGCACAGACCGCATTTTCTTCATCCGTCCATTGATCATCATCTAAGCTGTCCCAGGGCTTGGCTGTTTGAGTGACACTGCTGTAAACATGGGTGGGCGTGTATCACTGTCTGTAGTTCCAGAATACACTCAGGAGAGGTGCTGGGGTCAGATGGAATTTCTAACTTTAGTATTGTGAGGACTTGTGACAGTGATTTCCATGGTGGTTGCGTTGTTTCACATCTCCACCAACCACAGGAGGGTTCATTTTTCCTCTGGGTCCTTGCCAGTGCTGTTTTGTTTGTTTGTTTGTTTGTTTTTCATTACTAGGGGTTGAGCCCTGGACCTTCACGTAGCTACAATCCCAACCTTTTTGTTTTTTATTTTGAGACAGGATTTTTCTAAGTCATTAAGTGGCTCAAACTTGTCATCTTCCTGCCTTAGTCGAGTGCGGGGATTACAGGTGTGCACTACTACGCCCAGTTCCGTGTGTGTGTGTGTGTGTGTGTACATAGATATATATATGTATTTTTTTTTTAATGTAGATATAAGTAAAGAGCTGGATCACAAAGATATTATGTGTTAGTGTATGTGAGAAGTACTATAACTTTCAGATGTACAGATACAAAAGGAGAGAGATGATTCCAGTATGTCTCACTGGAAAATTCAGCCAGAAAAAGCAAAACTTGTCAAGCTCAGGCAAGACTACTTTTTTATTTTCTCAGCTAAACATATTCAACGTAACTATAGTGGTGCAATGCATACCCAGGTACCTACCAGGTAGTTTCGAAAGCTCAGTAGAAAGTTGTTTTTTTTTTTTTTTTTTTTTTAAATTGGGAGACAGGTTCTTGCTTTGTAGTGTAAGCTGGGCTTGAGTTTACTATGTAGCCCAGGCTGGCCTTGAACTCTCGGTAATCCTCCTGCCTCAGCTTCCTGAGGGCTGGGATTACAGGTGTGTACCATTATGCCTGGCCGCAGATAAAACTTTAAAGTGCTGCAGTTTAAATTACTATTCTTAAAAAAAATAAAATAATTACTTGGTGTGTGCGCCAGGGATGAAGCCCAGAGTCTCATATGCTAAGTGGCTGTTCTCCACTGAGCAACAAACTCAGTCCTTGCCTTGTATTTTAGAAAAGATTCTTGTTGGTATTTCTGTTATTCAAGGAATAAGTGGTACAGTGGCTGACGCTTAGAATCCCAGCTACTCAGGGGACTGAGACAGGATGATTGCAAATTAAAGCCTACCCTGGGCAGTTTGATAAGATCTGTCTCAAAAAATAAAAAGTGCCAGGATGGTAGGGATTCGGGCTCACTGAGAACGCTTGTCTAGATTACACAAGGCTTCAGGCTGATTCTGTAGTACAAGGGGAAAAAGTAACAAGAAGAAATACAGAGCAGAAAAGCTTAAAAAGGAAATTTATAATTCATTTCAAGTTTTGTCACAGCTAGGTGTGGTGGCAAACGTCTAATCTCAGTACTCAAGACGCTAAGCAAGGTGGGAGAATCTCAAGTTTGGGCATCTTAGCAATTTAGTGAAACATGGTCTCAAAAAGGCTAGAGGAGGATCCAGCTCAGCAGCATAAGCACCTGCTTGGCAAGCTTGAGGTCGTGAGTTTGACTCTGGTAAAACCCCCTCCCCACTCCAAGGGCTGGGGAAACCGTGGTATGAAGGCTTTGGGTTCAATCCTCAGTAGTAAAAAAAAAAAAAAAAAAAATCTGTTTTTGTTTTTTGGTACCAGGAATTGCACTCATTGCTTGTGCTTGCCAGATAGGCCCTGTGCCACTGAGCTGTATCGCTGACCCAAGTTTTACTGGTGATCACTGTTTTGTTTCCTTTTGCAGCATAGGTGGCAGTGTGGAGAGTTAATGTAGAGAATATAACAAAAACACGTTTTGTTCTATTTTAAGGAGGTAATCAATTTGATTGTAATTGTGTTTCATAGTGAGTTTTTTGTTTTATTGTGTAGATTAGATTTTGCTTATAGAAGTATTAGTAAAATAACTTTATAGGCCTCTTGCTCAAGCTGTCTGGTGCTGATAAATGTAAACGATATCGTCAGGAAGAAATGTTGGACTAAGTAAAGTTGACTTTGGTCCAAGTTGGTGTCTGTGTCCTTCTGAATGTCTCAGACCTTGCTACATAAAAGTTACATGGAAAATTAGATAGATTTCTTGGTTTCACTCTGGGCCTTGAGTCACAGTATCTCAGAGTAGATTTTTTTTTTTGGTACTGGGGAGCAACTAACAACCTGCCGCTTGCCAGGCAGGCGCTTATGCTACTGAGCTGAATTCTTGGGGCCCCCAGGGTGGATGGTTTTAAAATGTTCTCCACTAGGTGATGATGTGAAGATGAGTTCAGTGGATATTTATGAGCAGTTACTGTTTACCAGGTGTGTTCAGAAGATCTCAGTGAAAAAAGAAAGCTCCTGATCTTGTGTTGCTTACATTCTGTTAGTGCTAAGTAATTTGATGCAAAGCATGGCCGTTCCTGTTCCTGTTGCTACTTAGTGGCTTAGGAGATTGTTTTGTGACTCAGAAGTTGAGAAAGTGTAGCCTGGAAAGACCTTATTTAGGGGACTCCAGTGATTTGAGGGCTGCAGTCAATTATCAGCTATCAGCTCAGCCACCCATCTATACCTGCAGGTGACCTTTCAGGGTGGTGTGGCTGCTTGTGGAGGGAGGCCACAAAGCCCTGGAGTCCCACAGTTTTCTTCTGCATTCTGTGGGCTGCAGGTGAGGCGTAGTTAATATGGATTCAAGGGGGCCAGCCATAGCCCCAGTAATTTAGTTGCACGTTTTAGATCAACCACAGCAGTTATGGTTTTGGCTGTACTGGTACGCTGTTAGTATGGAGTGCATTCTGCAGAGCAGCTTTTCTCCAGAGGGACCAGTAAGAGAAGGAATGCAGGGACAGCACCCCTTTAGGGACAGAGTTTAGTGATCACAGGTGCGTTCCCCAAACCTGATAGGATTCTTCACAGCTGCAGCTTGACCTGGCAGATTTCACTTCTGGAATCTGTGGAGATTTTAAGGCAACCAGGTAAAAGGTGAGCTAGTACACAACTGCACAGAAGGTGAGCCAGGGCTTGTGTATGCTGATGCCTTTGCTAATAACAGTATCATCTGCTCATGGTTTTGGTCCATGGTTAAGGGGCCTTCTTGCTGGCAGGACCCAAGAGGGGCATTTCATGGCAAGAGACAGTGAGCTCACTTGTGTGTCTTACTGTCTGGTCTCTCCTCATCTTCCTGTGAAGCTATCAAGGTTCATTCCTGGCCCTGCATCCTGATGACTTTCTCTAATCCAATGGCCTCCCGAAGGTTCCCCCCCCTCAACAGTATAGTTAGTCAGGTTAGGTTTCCATCCTGTTGGCTCTCACAGTGAGAATCAGTTCCCACCTGAGCTCCAGAAGGGGCAGACAACCCTCACACCATGGTGCTAAGTCTGAGGGTCATTTGCACATGGGAAGACTAACACATTGTCATTTCTTCTCTGCAGCATAAAGACAGGGAAGTGGTGCTGGAGCACCCGTCTTCAGGAAGCGACTGGTCTGACGTGGACGAGTTCTCCACAGTCAGGTTCTCTCAGGAGGAGCCCATCTCCCTGAAACACTCAGCAGTTCCAGAGCCTGCATCTTTCCCCACTGACTATGTCATGTACCCTCCTCATCTGTATAGTAGCCCGTGGTGTGACTATGCCACCTATTGGACTAGCAGCCCCAAGACTCTGGGCTACGCCTCCACGTGCAAAAGCAGCCACGACACAGCTCAGGCAGAGAGCAGCTGCAGAGTCCCGTGTGACTATTCCCCTGGCCCCACAGCAGGTGCCCAGAATACCTCCAGAGACCTGAAGGCTGCAGAAGAAGGCAGATCAAAGAATTCTCGCTCATTTCATTTCTGCAGACGCTCTGGAGAAGAGAGGAAGGAGAAAAGAACATTCCGAGAGGAGACACCACCTCCTTCCAGTAGAGGACAGGTGGACAGGAGCACATCCGCCTTCCTGCCGAGGAGCCACGGGGAGCCAGACCTGGAGGAGGAGGGCTTCATTGACACTCACTGTCACTTGGACATGCTCTACTCCAAGCTGTCTTTCAAAGGGACCTTCGCAAAGTTCAGGAGAATGTATAGCAGTTCCTTCCCAAAGGAGTTTCAGGGCTGCATCTCAGATTTCTGTGATCCTAGGACACTGACGGATTGCCTGTGGGAGGAGCTGTTGAAGGAGGATCAGGTTTGGGGGGCCTTTGGCTGTCATCCTCATTTTGCACGTTATTATAGTGAGAGTCAAGAACGAAATCTTTTGCAAGCTTTAAGGCACCCCAAGGCCGTGGCATTTGGGGAAATGGGTCTGGACTACTCCTACAAGTGCACCACGCCTGTCCCAGAGCAGCACAAGGTAACAAAGCTTGTTATAGTCTGCTTTAGTTTACAGTTACTTCTTCAGTGTTGAAACCTAAGATTTTCTTTACTTTTGGAACCAAAGAATTTATTTATTTATTTATTTTGCAAGTCCCATTTTATTTCCAGAATTAAAAACTAAAAATTACAAAACACATCAGTCAAGGAGCAACAATGGTACATACCTTGTGCATTGTCATCCCCCATATCATTCACTCAGAGCATAGGACATCTGCATTCAATTGTCTGAACAACAACAGCACAAATCTTTCTCTTCAGTGAGCTCAGGGAAGTCAGTAGTATAATTAATTATCTTAGCTAGTTCTTATATACATATATGCATACATTCACGTATATATGTTGTTTCTTTTAGCTTCTCACAGTAGTGAGACGATACGATGTTTACACACTCAAGTTGCATCCATTTACTATAAAACTCTCCAGTTTGTCCTTCTTTATGATGGTTTAGTACTCCATTGTATAAAAAGACCACATTTTTTTTATCGATTCCTCAGTTGGTGGGCATTTAGGTTGTTTGTAAGACCTAGCTAGTATAAATTGTGCTGCTGTAAACATGGGTGCACATATATCACTAGGGAATATTTAATTCTTTTGGGAAGATATCCAGAAGGGGAATAGCTGGGTCGAATGGGACCTGTAGTCCTAGGTTTTTTTTTTTTTTTTTTTTTGGTACTGAGGATCAAAGTCACAACCTCATGCTTGCCGGGCAGGTGCTTACGCCACTGAACTAAATCCCCAGCCCTTAGTCCTAGTTTTTTGAGGAATCTCCACACTGATTTCCGTAATAGTTGCACCAGTCTGCATTCCCACCTGTGGTGGAGAAGGTGGAGCTAAAGAATTTAGAAGTCATCAACATTTCCTTGTTCCTGTCCAGATCCTCTGGAATCATTTGTCAGACACTTTACAAGCTATGAGCTCTTTCTTACATCTCAGTGTTCTTCCCCTGCGGTGCAGGGACAGACAAGCCCTGTACCTCTGCAGACGCTCCCAGCCCCGTTGGTGCTCTGATATGAGAGGGAAAGAGGCATTTTGTGATGTGGCTGATACCAGTGTCAAGACATTTCCTTGTTGCTTTCTTGGGAAGCAACAAACTTCAAGTTTTGTTTTTGTTCAAGAAGATAATTTTCATTCAGTGAGAGATAATGACTATTACTCTCTTTCCCTCCCAATGTTTTTTGAGTGTTTGGAAGGTAAGAGTCCTTGGCAGGTAGCATTGCAGGTTTCTGACTGGGAATGAGTAGGACCAGGAGGGCCCCTGTCTTCATCCCTCCTTGGAACCCCTGTGGCATATGTAGGAGGCTGCTGCTTTCCTGGGCTGCATTGTTGCGCTGCTGGGGCCCTTGGGTGCCTGTACCTCTAGACTGCAGGCCTCAGGGAAAGGTACATGTGCCTCCCTTTGTGGAAACTGCTTCCCAGCTTTCCCTTGGGCATCATCTCATATCTGGCCTGAAGTGTTACTCTCTTAGCCAGACCTGATAGTAAAATAACTGTCTGAATATAGGAGAAAAAACTGATTTTAGAGGAGGGAGACAAATGTTTAATATCCTGTTTTCCCAGCAGGTTGTTTGTGGTACAGGGCAGAGCAGTGTGGGGAGGACATTTCAGGAAAGCTTCATGGGAGTTTTTAGGGAGTGGATGCTCACTGAACATTTACCAATATTTCACTGTATCTTTTCCTTTGCTGAATTGTAAGGGTCTCAAATGTCGGTATGAAATAGATGGCCATGCTGTCTAGAAAGCTGGGCTTGAAGCAATGCTATAGTTGACCAGTGCAGCCTTCAGCTATTAGACCTGGTGAAATGGAACTTGAGACTAGAACATAGTGAGTCAGAGGAAATAAATTACTGGCTGAAGGGAGAGTAAAACAAAAAGCTGCATGTAAAGGAGAAAACAGTTGACAGACATTTTTGTTAACACTGGAGGAAGCTGGGCCTGGCGGTGCACACCTGTAAGTCTACAACATGAGGCCCAGAGGAGGGGAATGGTGACTAGTGGCTGCCGTGAGTTGCAGTGGTTCACAGGCTCAAGATGAGTGCTGCACTGCGGTACGTGCTTGCAGGCAGATCTGTCCAGCCTGATGGGTGCAGGTCTGGCTCTTCAGAGAGGTGAAGGCTAGAGATGGAGCTCAAGGATCCAACATGCATGAGGCCTAGCTTCAGACACCAACACCGAGGAAAGGGAAAAAAAGTTTGGTCTGTTACCTAATATTTCTGAAAGGACTAGGAAAGAGAGGAAAAGAATACAAATAGCAGGGTTAAAGTGGGTGGTTTTCCTTCTACCTGGTAAAAACCCCAGTTAACTTTTTCCTTATCTGTGTGTTAACAGATTTTTTTGTTTAAAGACAGGGTCTCACTGTATAGTTCAGGCAGCCTTGAACTCACTGGAGCCCAGGCTGACCTTGAATTTGCAGCAGTCCTGCCTCAGCCTCCTAATTGCTGGGTTACAGGTGTGTGCCAGTGTTCACAGATTTAACTGTTTACTTCCCAAGCACCAAATCTCAGGTATTCCATGTGTGACTTGTACATACCTTCCAATATGATTATCAGAGTCCCTTGGCTCTAAAAGACTAGCACAGTGTCCTTCCCCTTCTTGCTGGCTGCACTCTGCCACATCTGCCTCTGGTAATAAGTATGCAAAAATCATCTGAGGACAGCCTCGGGCAGACTAATGAACCACACAATGCTTGACCAGGCACCATTGGGGGGCCAGATAGTGTTGGTTAAGTGGCACCCGCTGTGTGTTCATGTGTGTGTTTCCTGGTAAGCTGCACACAGCTGTAGAACTCTGCGTGCTGGGAAACTCTTTGGTCTTAACGTTTTGAAATTTGGAAGTATTCTACAAAACAATACACTTCATAGTACTCTTAATTACCTCTCGTGGATTGTGAATGTGGATTGAACCCAGGGTCTTGGGCCGACCTGGCACATACTTCGTCACTGAACTCTACATATACTTGCCCTGTGTGCTTTTTTTTTTTTTTTAAAAAACGAAGTTAATAAGTTAAAAAGTAATAGCTTTGAATGTGTAGTTATAAACATTTTCCTATTCTATTAACTATACTTTGAAAACTATGTTTTTTGTTTTTGGGTTTTTTTTGGTCTTTTTCATTTTTATCTGTACCGGGGATCGAACTCACGACTGCCTGCTTGCAAGGCAGATGCTTATGCCGCTGAGCTAAATCCCCAGCCCTGAAAACTATGTTTTTTATATAGCTGTATATTTCTCCCTAAGGCTGTAGCAGTATGCTTGGCTATTGTTTGCTTGTGTGTTTGTTGACAGTAGGGTCTTGCTATGTAGTTCAGACTGGCCTTGAACTCACTGCAACAGGACTGTCCTCTGCCTCTCAAGTGCTAGGGTTAAAGGTGTGTGCCACCATGCCTAGCTCATGGCTATTCTGAAGCCTTTTTTTAGAAACAACAATTGGGCTGTTTTGAAACCTCTTGCCTTGATGTAGGGGTTAAAGGGGGCAGATTAACAGGTAGCAAATGTACCCGGTGGGGTCTGGCCCTACCTAAACCTTCTACCAAGCATTCCAATAGTGGCATGTCTGTGATCCTCTCTTCAGTTGAAAGCAAGGCAAAGCTAGACATGGTGGTGCATGCCTATAATCCCAGCACTCAGGAGGCTAGGGCAGAAAGATCATTGTAAGTTTGAGACCAGTGTGGGCTACAAAGTGAGCTCAAGGCCAGCCTGAACTTTATAATAGACCCTGTTTCAAAAAGACAGGGAATGGGGGCTGGGGATTTAGCTCAGCGGCATAAGCACCTGCCTTGCAAGCAGGCGGTTGTGAGTTCGATACCGATTTAAAAAAAAAAAAAAGGAACAAAAAGACAGGGAAAAAAAAAAAGAAAAGACAAGATAGGGCAAACAGGTGGCACAGCAGAATCGGTATTAGCTGGTCCATCTGTTGAGAAGGGGTAGCAAGCACCTACATTAGTTAAATTTACAATTGTCTTTCTCAAGTGGATATTACTTTACCACCAAATATACTTCACTGTTTCAGGCTAATATGAATTACATTCTATAACTGAAAAAGCTGCCCAGGAAAATAGTTCTTTAGATGAGACAATTTGCTTATAATAAAATACTTTTGTTCTGATCTTATTAGAAGAAAAAGTAGTTTCTAGCCCTATTCCCCCACCTCTATGCTCCCAGCCTGTGGCACTGAACCCTGGGGTGTTTTCCCAGTCCTTTTGAAAGTTTACTTATTTAATTTTGTGATAGGGTCTCACTAAATTGACCAGATGGGACCCAAACTAGTGATCCTATTGACTCAGCCTCCTTAAGTGCTAGGATTATAGTGATGTGCCACCATGCCTGGCTTAGCCCTAATTTTTCTTTCAGTCATTCATTTTGTCTTTTTGAGACACAGTTTCACCATGCTGGCCTTGAACTCACTTTGTAGCCCAAGCTGGCCTCAAACTTGAAGTGGTGCTCCTGCCTCAGCCTTCAGAGTGCTGGGATTATAGGCATGCGCCACCATCCAGCCTTTCATTTATATTATTAAAAATATGTGCCTTTTATTAATGAAGATTAAAAGTGGCTAGAGTTAAAAAGAATGAAATAGATCTGTTCATACTTACCTAGAAAGCTATCCAGTTTGGACTGAGTAAAGAAAGCAGGTTGTAGAAAATAAGTATAGTGTTTCTCTCTTAACACACGCTTGAGTGCCTTCTGAGCACTGGGCATTGTGCTGCGGGGATGTGTGTATGGCACAGCTCCTCCACTGAGAAAGTGCATTACACCTGTCTCCGGCAGCACAAAGTGATGAGTGCAGTGAGGCGAGGGCTAAACACACTGTCCTGTTCCTGAGCCCAGGACAGCACTGTCTGGATCAGTGTGCTGGCCCTGCAGCCTCTGGGTGCTTTAGTCCCTGCCCTTGCTGCTGCACAGTCCTTGGGGACTGCAGATGATCAGCTGTCCCCAGGGCTTCAAGCACACTTTGCTCTCTAGAAAGTGCCAGGTAAACAGCAGCCATCATGGTTCCACTGTGTCATTTTTGGGTGTACAGAGAATTGGACACAGTGAGGTTCCAGTATGACAGGCTTTTGAAGTGTCCCCAACCAGATGGTGTCCCTTTGTCTTCTTCCAGGTGTTTGAGAGACAGCTGCAGCTGGCTGTGTCTCTAAAGAAGCCCTTGGTCATCCATTGCCGAGAAGCTGATGAAGATCTGCTGGACATCATGAAGAAATTTGTGCCCTTCGACTACAAGATCCACAGGTAAGGAGACTGCAGCTTGAGTGGCAAATGTAAGACGACTGCCAGGGCTGCTGCGTGAGGAAGAGCAGAAGTGAGGGGATGGTGATAGATGTGGGTTGCATTACTTTTTGCTTGTATTGGAGCGTTGGAGATCTGTACCCGTATTGCCTCATGAATCCCTTTGCTAAGGATCGGAGTTGAACCATATGCTAATTCTTGTCCTTGTGTGCTGTTTTTCTGTGGCACCTGGCTTTAGCTGACTCCCTGAGTCACCAGTGAGCAAGAAGGGGCTTTCATTTCTTAGAAGTGAGGACTATTGCTCCTTTGGAGTCCAGTGCCTTAGCGCACAGAACATTGAGAGCATCTCAGAGTCATTTTGTCCTTTTTTTAAATTGAAAGTTCCTTTTCCATAGTTAGAATGAAAGTGCAAATGTGTTTTGTCAAACATGTTGGGTTCTGAAGTTGTTTGATGAACACTTTGAGCAGCCTGTGTGTGTGTGTGTGTGTGTGTGTGTGCTGGGTATTGGCTTGACTGGTGGGGATACCCGGGTTAGTGGGGTCCATTGTAAACAGGGTGTAAGGCTGCCCAAGCTAGGTGTAAGTACTTATTCTGGGTAAAAGGACCTAGGTTAAAGGTGAGGAAGGGGTTTGTTAGAGACCCTGGGATCATGCTGCCACCTTCTGGGGGCCTGAGTAGATAACATCACACAGTGGGGCTGAGACACAGACACTCTGCAACCCAGGCAAGGATGGCCATGGTGGTGTTGGGGCCGGGAGAGGCCGTGAGCTCTCAGATGGGGTGAACTGGAGAGCAGGTGCCAGCAGCATGGGCAGCTGTCACACGTAGAGAAGAAAAGTCACCTCAACCCATTCTCTCTTTTTTTTGTGATGCTGAGGATGGAACCTAGGGCATTGCACACTAGGCAAGCACCCTGCCCCTGAGCTATGTCCTCAGCGTTCATTTTTTGTGTATACTTCCTTAGACTGCATAGGCGTGCCAGGTGTGGTAGTACACACCTGTAATCCCAGGAAGGCTGAGACAGGAGGATTGCTGCAAGTTTGAGGCCAGCCTGGACTACATAGTGAGACCTTGTCTTCAAAGACAAAAGAAATGAATACCTAGACATAATTTTTGCATACTGCAGTTCTAACTGTAGAAGGGTGTTTTTAATTCTGTGCTCTTTTCCTATCACAAGCTGTGCTGCACCTGCGTTGTTAAGCATTCTTTGTTGAGTAGCTGTGCAGTGCTGGGTGACATGGGAGGGAGTTGCTGGGTATTGCTCCCTGTGATTGCTTTGGGCCCCCTTGGGTGCAGTCGTTTTGTGCCTGTGTCTCATTGAGGGCATGAGATCTGGAGGGACTGTGGGCTGCTGCAGGAGGACTGTGGGCAAACCCTGGCTTGGCATTCTCCCCATAGGCACTGCTTCACTGGCAGCTACCAGGTCATCGAGCCCCTGTTGAAGTACTTCCCCAACCTGTCCGTGGGCTTCACTGCAGTGCTGACGTACTCTTCAGCCTGGGAGGCACGGGACGCTCTGAAACAGATCCCACTGGAGAGAATCCTCGTGGAGACCGACGCTCCCTACTTCCTCCCACGCCAGGTAGGGCTGTCTTTGGGCCAAGTTGAGGCACCAAGGAGAGGGTGGGGAGATGGGTGGTCAGAGCCCCAGCACCCCACAACCTCCAGGTCCCAGCCTGGCTGTGTAGATGTGTCCTTGCTGTTGCTCTGCACAATCTAAAGTCCAAGGGTGGAGAAGCTGAAGGGTAACCACTCTCTTCCAGGCAGTGCAAAGCCCTGCCCTGTAGAGGGCAGTCCACAGAAGCGTGGGACCCTGCTCACCCAGAGCCCCCTGCTAGGACTCTCCCTGCACCTGCAGGTAAAGGGGTCTCCACAGGGCAGCCCCAAGAGGTCCTTGCTGGGGAAAGGCTGGGAGGGAGTCTGTGTCCAGCTGTGTGCAGAAGACACAGCAATGTTTTCCACTCTTGATGTCTTCCAGGTTCCCAGAAGCCTGTGCCAGTATGCCCACCCTGGCCTGGCTTTGCACACAGTTCGAGAGATTGCCAGAGTCAAAGAGGAGCCGCTGTCCTACACCTTGGCTGCTCTGCGTGAGAACACCAGTCGCCTCTACAGTCTGTGATTCCGAGGACACAGCAGGAGCCATGGCAAAGGTCATGCCGTTCACATGATGTGCTTGTTAGACATCAGGCCAAGAAGGTGTTTGGCTGTGTTTTCTTGGCTGTGTTACATGATGTGAGAAGACCAGCAGCCTGATGGAACATGGGCAGGGTCTGAACTTTGCCTGTGTCCCAGGTCAAGGATGTAACTGCAGAACCCATTGGAAAGAGAAACCCAGGACTGGTCATTGTCCTTGGAACTCCGTGCTAAGGCTTCAGCTCCTACCTGTGTGTGTGTGTGTGTGTGTCATGGGTTCAGGGAAAGGAGCTTCCCAGAGTGGCATTTGGCTTATGCGTCTTGGTGAGAATGAACCAGGGCCATCCCATGTAAGGGCCAGTCCATGACTGTTCTTCGCAGCTGGTGGTTTTGCATAGTCTATGAATAAAGTCGGCCTCCTCCTTCACCTCCTCCTTCACCTCCTCTTCCTCCTCCTCTGAGCACTGTGGGTGTTGTATCCTGCTTCTTGGTTATAGAAATGACCTCAAGTGGGGAGCTGGGGGACGTTCACTGGCAGACTGTTCCTCCTCCCAGGTACCTTCCGTGCACCATCGCTGCCCCTGCTGTCAGTGGAGGTGTGCAGCCGGTGCTCGTCCATGGAGGGTCCTGGCAGACAAGCTCTGGGGGAGGGCCTTCTCAGGGCTGATCCTGTAGGAGGTGCTCTCTGCTTCCTCAGGCTACTGGGGTTGCTTCCAGGGTGGTAAATGGTAAGGGTGACAGTGTGTGGCACAAGCCACTTGCTGGTTTGTGATAGCCTCCATTTTTGCCACGTTCTCCTGGCACACTGGCCCAGAATAGTCCCTCAGATGAGTCTTGTGTGGCTGACCCTAGTACGCCCCACTGGGCTGACAGCAGAGAGAACTTGTTCTGCAGGGCTCCTGGGCCTGGCTGCGCAACTTGGCCTTCTCCAGAAGCAGTCCGGGCCCTCTGCAGCCAGGTCCCTTGCTTTGTCCTCTGTCTTAGCTGGAGCCTGTTCACAGCCACATCCTCTTGAGGGCAGTGCTCTGCAGCGCCCTGCTGTGCCTTGTGACAGTGGACTCACTGGAGGGCCTGGTGGTCAAGGAGTAGGTGCAAGGAGACTCCTGGACAGTGTGGGAAATGATCCTCCTGACCTGCACCCCGGAATCCCTCATCTTGTTTCTCACTTCTTTCATAAAATCTTTCACTGATTGGTTTGTAGCTGGGCATGCAGGGGTTTTTAAATGTTGTGAGGCCAAGTAGAATGGATATGTTTCCTAGTTGGAGTGACCTGGGAAGTTGGCCTGGCTCACGGTCCATCTCGGTGGCTCACTTGTGCCTCCCATTTGCCAGTGTGGGATGTGGGGACTTGATCTGCTTGGTAGATGCGGGGACTGTCAGTATGTATGTCAGCCATGGGAGCCAGAGTCCAGCCATCTCCCTGACAAGAAGCACTTGGGTCAGCACTGCCCATGTTTGCTGGCATGGTCTGTGCTAAGGGGTCATAAGTGATGACTCCGTGATATCTCCTACCCACTGCTGCGTCCTGACAGGGCACAGCACAAGGTACTGTTGGTCTGCTTTTCTGTCCCAAGATTCAGGGCCGCCATGTGGCTGCTGTTACATGGCAAGTCCTCCTTGGCTAGGCGTGAGAGCTGGGGGCCTTGTTTTTACTCTTTAACTTTGGGTGGGTGACTTATTCTTGCTGTATGGCCAGAATGCATCTGTATGTCCCCATCTTTGACTTGTGAATAAAGTGATCGATCCTCCAGCTGCCTCTTGTGTTGTCCGGGTCTGTGGATACATATGTGGGTGATACTGGGTTAGTCTGGCTGTTGGCCAGCTTTGCGTCTGGATGTCTGAAAGTCTGAGACATTGTCAGGTGTTCCCGTTCCTTGCAGCACTGTTACATGATGTGAGAAGACTCGGCGTGTATATAGAAGACGCCACAGCATGGAGCATTCGCTCCCACTGCACTCCCTGAGAAGCCAGCTGCTGCCCTGCTCAGCTTCCGAGGAGCACGCAGAGGCTGGGCTGCCTCTTTCCAGAGACCCTTGGATCTGGGTTAGTGACTCCTAACCCAGGGGAGGTCGGCACTCTACTTCAGCTCCCTCTGTCCCGCCCCTGCACTCCCCACATGCCTACAGATACCTTTTTTATTATAATCCTCTTCCCATGTGGTTATTACTGAGCTCAGGCTGATGCTTGTGCGGGCAAGAAAGTGACAGAGTTCCCATCATGATGTCCTTGTGGTTGGCTTAGAAACGGGAGTGGGTGTGATCTGCCCAGGGCAGGTGGAGCTGGGCAGAGCTGAGGTCACAGTAGAGCAGGTCAGTGAGAGGCTCAGGACCCCTTTGCCAGGAATTGCAGCTTTGCTGATGACCCTGCCAGTCAGGCTTGAAGTCCACAGCTGCCCTGTGCCTGGCAGGGCTGCCTAGCTGTGCTGCCTGTGTAATGCAGGGACCTCTGTTCTGCAACAGTGTGGGGTGGTTTGAGGGTTTTGTTGAGTTGTGGGCTGTGAAGGCTGGGGTGGGACCCAAGTCTGCGCTGGTTAGAAGCAAGAGGGTGGTGACGATGCCTCATGCATGTGCATTCCCCAAGCCTGCTGGTAGCCCAGGTTCAGTGCTACCATGTCCAACCAGTAACTGCGCTGGGTGTGGGTGGCATGAGTGTGACTCAGGGAAACACCTGGCCCCTGTGCCTTCTGTCTGGAGTCCCCGGTGTAGGTGTTTACCCGGCCTTGCAGGTGGCCTGTGTATCCCCCTCTGCATTATTGCATGGGGCAGTACAGTGGTGTGACCCCTGTATCTGCCCCAGCCCCAATTGGCACCCCATTTGTCCCCCCAGAAGACAAGCTTCTGATGTGAATTCAGCTGGGGGTCTGAAGGTGAGCCCCTGTCTACTGGGAGCTATAGGGGGAAATGTTTGAGGGTCAATAGCTGCTATCAAGAAGGCCATCCAGTTGGCCAGTGGCGCCATAGGAGGCCAGTGCTTTGCCAGGCCTTCGCAAGGGCAGGCGTACTTCAGTCCTATCTCGTTGTGACCACTGTTGAGCACCTGTGGGTGCTAAGTTCAGACTCATTCTTGGGCACGCACATCGCCTTGTTCATGTTGTCTTGGGGACTGGCCTTGAGGGGATGCTGACTTTGATACTGTCACATCCAGCACCTGCTGGTTCCTACTCAGCTCCAGGTGCAGTGTTGTGATCCTGGGACACTCCGCTGCATGTCTGTCTCCTCCTTTGTTCCCCTCATTCTATTGTCCCTACCCAGAGTCCTTCTGTCCTGCGCTCCTCCAGGATGTCAGTGCGAGGCTTCCCCCTGATGGAGTCAGCACCTTGCATGGATGTTTGGCAAGCAGTTGGGATATTTATTTGCCTCTTAAATAGCACAAGGGTATCAGGAGTTGCTGTGGAAGCACTGGGGGGTGGGGGGGGGGGACAAGGCAGCTGTCCTGCAGCATCACTTGTCTGCGGGGGCCTCTGGAATGGAAGGGATCCAGTCAGAGCTCTAGGGCCCCACCCCGCAGTGGCCTTGGCCTTGGGTAGGGCCCTCATCTGTGCAGCAGGCACGTGCCACCCCACCCACTTCACAGCGTGCAGGTGGCTCCCTTCGTGATCTCATGCTGAGGACTCACCTTCAGCCTCTTCTCCAAGGACAGCCTGAAGCAGTTTTCCCAGGGCCTGGCTGTGCTGCTGGTACTGAGCCCCGGACAGTTTGACTCCGATATCCAGTGGGACATTGAACTAGGATACAGGGTGACAAGGGAGGTGTCGGAGGTCAGCCCACTGACACACCCTCTGAGGGAGCAGGGGTGCCTGGTATATGTGGGCAGCTCTTTTGCCACTTTGGCTGTTCCCTAACTGTCCAGTCTCCCATGTATTCTCCAGCCTCAGCTTCCTGGGGTTCTGATTAACACTGTGGAGCCCCCCAGAATGTTTTTCTCCCCCTTCTGGTTTTGGGAGACAGGAGAGTGAATCACTGCCAGTGGACTTTTGAACCTAGAGGGGAGGCTTGGGGGTATGCATACGGGCTGCTAGCCTGGGAGGTGCTGTGTCCTCTCCCTGCCCATCTTCCTCTTCCCATTGTCCTGCCTCCCCACCTCCCTCGGCTGCTCTGGAAGCTGGTTTCCTAGCAGGGAGCTTCCAGCTAGGCCCTTTCTTCTGCCTATGCTTCTGTCCTTCCTCTGGGGTAGTATCTCCTTTCTCAGGTTTCTAGGCATTCTCTCAGATGGGCCACTGCAGGTCACAGCTTTGGGGAGACCGCAGAGAGCTCTGTGTGTGGCCATATCAGAGATCTTCCCTTGTAGAGAGCAAGAACCGGACTTTAGCTGTTCTGTCAGTGGCCACCTTGGGGCCAGTGTGTCGTGACCAGGTGTCTGCATGTGTCTACAAAGGTAGCTTAGTGCCAGAAAGGAGCCTGGTATCCTGGCTTCTTCTCCCAGACCCCACAGTGAAGCCCAGGGAGGTTATGAAACTGCCTGTGGGCACAGGAGGGCTGGTGGCCCAGGACCAGGAAGCAGGCCTCTGTGGCCCACCCAGCCTCCAAGGTGCAGGCCTGCACTCCTGCCAGCCAGGCCTGCATATGATTCCTGCTGCCACACCACACCTTGGTGCTCCTCGAGGCAAGGCTGGCCTGACCCCACTGCATAGGCTTGGAGATTGGCTGGGAAGTTCTGACGTGGGAACTGCCATGTGGCCCCCTTGTAAAGTGTTATTCACCCTGAAGGTTGTGGAGGGCAGATTAGTGTCTTTAAGCAACTGGCACTTATTCCTTTGGACAATTCCCATTTTTCTTCTCCACCCAGACTGGTGAGGAGTGGTCAGGTCATTTGCCAGTCACCCTGGGAAGCAACTAGCCTGTCTCATGGGAAATGCTCCATAGCCTCAAGCAAGCCTGGATTATGCAGGTGATCCATCTGTGGTCCATCTGTTTGCTGGGGGTCAAGGAGTTTATCTTAAAATTTGAGTTCTGAATGTGATCTGGGGGGAGATTTGAGGAAGATAGCGGGGACTGAGATGAGGTGGAGCTACTATGGGAATAGTCTGGTGGTACTGGATGGACAGGCTGTGCTGTGGCCTGCCCAGTCCTTACCAATTATACCCCAGCTTCCAGGTACCCCTCACTGGCTTTGGCCAAAGATGGCTATTTCTCTAGGGCCAGTAACCATGGATGCTAGGTACCTTCTTGATACCTGGCCTTAGCTTGAGACCTCTGTCCCACCTGAGCTGGCGCGCACTCCTTGCCTGGGCGAAGTCTCCTTGTGTGGGCCTGAGGGTTACAGGGCACCCAGGTGGGAGTCTGTTGACCAAGACTCACATCATGGAGGAAGGCTTCTCTGGAGAGGGTTACAGAGGGCAGCCTTGGGGCGCTCCTTTCCTGTGACCATGACCAGAGCAAAGGATGGGGACCAGGAAAGACGCCAGGCAGGACTCCTCCTTCAGAGAACAGGGAAGTGGGTCTGTGGTCAGTCCTGACTGGGGCCCTGGCTACACCCTCTGGCACTTTAATTCACCTCTCTGAACTGATGTTTCCTGTCTACAGAGGGGATTAGTAGCACCATCCCTACTAACCTTGTGTGTTGTACAAATTAAATGACATGCAGTAACAGTAAGATGCAGGCAGGTGTAGCTCAGTGGTAGAGCACTTACCTAGCCTGGGCAAGGCCCTGGGTTTGATCCTCAGTGCCACAAAAATAAAAGAGATAAAACAGCTTGCACATGAGACTACACAGGTGAAAGGATGGGCACTGGCTGGACTGTCTTCTGGCCTGCCCTCTCCTAGCACTGCTCCTGCGGGCCTTCTCTGTGATAGTGCTGATGGCAAAGATCAGGGAGGGCCAGAGTGATGGGCAGAGTCAGCCTGGCCGCCCCTCCTGGAGACACTGGAAAGCCTTACCCTCAGGACAGCCCTGCTGTGTTCAGGGAGCTGTGGAGTGTGGGGTGAGGGTGCTCCGTCCACACAGGAGGCATCTGCTGTGGTTGCAGAGGCTTGAAACAATCCATCTCAGGTGACCCTCCCCCTCAGTCCCCACAGTGCCCAGATTCGAGGAGCTGCCCACACGTGAGCAGTGCTCCCTCTCGCCCCTCCAGGCATTCCAGATGGGCAGCTCTGCCCCATGCACGGTTCTAGGAAAAGCCATGCCACATGATCCTATTGTCTCATCCTGGGATGCCCTGCAGAAGAGGTGATGACGCTGGGAGCTGCTATGAAGAGCTCCAGACAGCATGGAACCAGGAACAGGGTTGCAGGCCTGGAATCTAATACCTTGGGAGGCCAAGGCAGGAGGATCACTGTGTTCCAGCCTGGCCTGAGCAGTTCAGTGGCTTAGCAAGATTCTGACTCAAGGGCTGGGGTTTAGCTCAGTGGCACAAGTGCCTTGCCTAATAAGTGCAAGGTCCTGAGTTCAATCTGTAGTACCAAAAAAAAAAAAAAAAAAAAAAAAAAGACTGATTCAATATTTAACAAGATGGACCAGGCATGGTGGCTCACATCTATAATCCTAGTGCTCAGGAGGATCTCTGAGTTTGAGACCAGCCTGGGCCACATAGTAAGCTCAAGGCCAGCCTGCACTGCATTAGTGAGACCCTGTCTCAAATACACACAAACAAAATTAAGAAGGGCTGGGATGGAGCTTACTGTGAACGCCCTGAGTAATGGACCAGCACAGAGCAGGTGTAGTGGAGCCCTGCAGTGACCAGTAGAGGCAGCAGAAGTTGTTAGAAGAGCTCCAGAGGGCCTGGGGGGCTGTGAGCCAGGCTATGTAGTGCCAATGGGGCTGGCTGAGAGCCCAGAGCCTCCCACACCAAGGCAGCTGTGCTTTCCCAGTTGGTGACTTCTGTCTGTGTTGAGTGCAGCGTGATGGCGACCACCACTGCTGGGTTCACCCCACAGGTTCTGGCCTAGCTGCAGTGAGGTGTGGCCACCTAACTCTTAGGAGCCAGAGCCTCGAGCGAAGTGTTGCAGACAGCCCCATGCCATCCCTAATGCTTGCACTGTCTCTGCAGGTTTTCCTTGACCCATGCAAGACTGTCTTAGCCAGTGTCATGTTACAGTCCTATAATCTCAGACCTCTGGGAGGCTGAGGCAGGAGGAGCTCAAGGTTCAACCCAGCTTTGGCACTTCAGTGGCTCCGCAAGACCCTGTCTCAAAAAAGGGCTTATAGCTCAGTATAAAGGTCCTAGGTTCAGTCCCTAACACCAGAACCAAACAAACCTGATCCACTTTGTCTACAGGCGGGGACTGCTGTTGCTCACCTGTGTGCATTTCTGTCTCCACGCACTCCATCCCTGCATTCAGGCCTTCAAGGCCCCCCGCTGGCCCCTCTGAGACCGCCTGGCGCCGCCAGTGCCACTGCTCCCTGGCTCCGGGCCTTACACTACTGCACTCTGTGGCAAAGTTACTTCTAGATACTTTTTTCTTGAGCAAAGGCTTCACGGAATCCTGTGCGAAGCTCAGCTGGTGGGACTAGTTTATAATTTCTGAGTAGCCTGTGGACAGGACTCCGGTCATAGCTGCCTCCTTGCCCATCTCCCTGACCCCCGCCGCGAACCCCACGCCCTTGGCTCTGCCGGGGACAAACCTGGGTCTCTAGCTCCTCTCGTGCCGCGTCAGCCTTCCCTCTGCCTTCTGGGCGGGGCCAGTCTTCCAGCTCTCGCGGCTGTATTTTGGCTGGCAGCTTCCTGGACTCCTTTCTCTGCTGGGAGGCAGAGGGCTTCTTTAGCCCACTGTGCCTTTCGGCCCAGAGTGGAGCTGCATGGCCGCGGTGCACGGGCTGGGGTGCGTGGCCTGTGCAAGGCCTGTGTATGGTCGGAACTGGGGCCTCACCTGTGCGCTGTGATGCTCAGGGCTCCGAAAGCTAGCGCCGGCCATGGCCAGCTCCATCCAAAGCACGCTGAGGAGCAACAGGCTGCAGATGGTCCCCGCCAAGGTCATGGCCTCCACCAGAGGGGACAGGCAGAGGGGCCTGAGGAGAGAGACTCGGGCAGCTTGCAGTTCCCTTTGCGGGGCTGCAAGCCGGCGTGGGCGGAAGCTGGCCGTGGGACTGGACCTGGATTTAGCGGGCAGGAAGCAAGGCTGAGCTGGGGTAGTGCTGTGGTAGATGCTGGGGTGTCTGCCCCGACTCATCTCCCAGGCCTGGGAGAGCCTGTGCTGAAGTGCAGTCGAGGGACCATGGAGCCAAACCGGCGAGGTCCCCAGGGGATACGGGGATTGGGGCAGCCAGCCTGGCCTGGGCCGTCCTGTTTAGATGTCCCTGCTGAGGCCCAGAGGAAAGCGCGAGTGGCCAGCACTCCCACGTCAGCAGTGGACACATACACAAGCAGAAGGAGCCGAGCTCTGCACCTACCTGGACTCTGCACGGCTGGTGCACGGGGGCAATTTGGACCTTATATAGGAAGCCTGCTGTTTGCTTTCATCCAGCGGGCCCATCTCCGAGGTGGTCAAGCTGCCTTAGGCTGACACACATTCCCTGGAAACTACACCCCCTCCCCCCAGGAAGCAACAGTGGATGTCAGGCACCTGCGAGATGGCTGGGTTGGCATGGTACCATTGTGTGTGTGCCTGTCCCAGCTGACCCTGCTAACAAAGTACATAGATATTATTATTTTTTTTTTTTCTGATTTTGGTCTTTTTTGTCTTTCTGAGACAAAGTTTCACTGTGCAGTTCAGGCTGGCCTTGAATTCCTTTGGTAACCTGGCCTTGAAGTACTGATTGTCCTGCCTCAGCTTCCTGAGTGCTAAGATTATAGGTGTGAGTTCTACCATGTACGCACTGCTGTGGGGTTTTGCTCTGATTTTTGCTGTATTAGGATTGGAACCCAGGGCCCAGGTCTCTGTGCTGAGCTGTGTTTCTGGCAGCAGCAAAGGGATCCTATTGTGGGTGGTGCCTGATCAGTCTGGTGAGTCTTGTGGCCCTGGGCTGGCTCAAATTCTCCTGTGCTGTTGCCTTAGGCAGGTCACATCACTGACATCCTCTGTGCTTAGGAGCCTGCATCTCAGATCCCTTAAGGTTTAAGGGGTGGGTATTGAGGGTGTTTCAACCCTAAAGAATCCGCCTGACAGTAATGGCTGGTGTCACCTACACCCTGACACTTGGGATCTCCTGCCTTGCCATTTCCTCTAGATGTCAGCAGCCTGGGATCCTTACTTCAAGAGCAGCATCAAACTGATGCTCAGGGCAAAGTGAGCTGTCTGGGGGATGTGTGCTGGGCTGGCTGCAGGCGGGAAGGGCTGCTGTGGGGAGGTGTGCAGGCCGGGGAGGGTCGCAGAGCAGGCCTGGCACAGGAAGGTGGGGCATGATGAAAGGGCTAAAGGGTGGTTTGGGTCAGGTCTTGGTGCTCCTGTGATCTGCCTGATCCACAAGTAGAAGGAGGCTAGGGGAAAGATGGAAGTGCAGAGTTAACTGAGAGTTGGGAAGTCCTCAAAGCCCCAGAAGCTGAGCCTTGATTCCACTAGAAGGTGAACTGAATGACAAGAGAGCCATGCTTCTCCCAGAGCTGTGCAGGTCCCAGGGTGTCCCAGGCCTGCTCACGGTGCTCTTGTGATCCAAGTCTCCTCTGCCGTGGGCATGGTATTCCAAGAAGGTGGTCCTCCCTGTGCTGTGGGCTGGGACAGTGCAGAGAGTCAATTGCCAGATGATTGTGTGACCTGCTAGAAGGACTAGGGGTGGGGCAGAGACTTGGGACAGTTGGAAGCAAGACTGGGTGGGCTGAGCCCCTCAGCAGAATGGGGAACTTGTGTTGGAGAATGGCCAGTTTTCAATCCCAGAACAGGCGCCACACCAGGAGCCTTGGGAGCTGTCACCACCTGTCTTGGTTGGATACGTTGCTGAGACATAATACCTGATGTGCAGAATTAGGGAAGGAAAGGTTGGCTTGCAGAGGTTTCAGTCCATAGTCAGCTCCACCACAGGGAGACTCGTGACAACAATTCCAGGCGGCAGAAGACAGCAAAAACAATCACAATGAGAGCAAAAGGGGCGGGGCGGAGAGAAGACTGGTCCTTGTGTGTAGGCCACCACCTTGGGCGGGTGTAGCACACCTGTAATCCCAGCACTGGACCATGAATCAGTCACAAACTAGATTCAGCTGCTTCACGACTACATGAGGCTTTGGGGCACATCCAGACCCCGACCCTGAGCCCAGCCCTCTGTCCTCAAGATGGAGATGGTGGAGAGAAGTTTAGCGTTCTCAAAAAGACCTGGAGCCTTATCCAGGCCACACCCTCACAACCCTCTCAGAATAGAACTCCCTGAACTGGGTGCCCCATGGCTGCTGGGACACAGGAGGTCGCGTTGGCAGGAGGAACTGCCTGTAGACCTTAGATACATACCCTGGAGCAAACACCACTGCACTGTGTTATCTCACAGCTGCGTGGTCACCTGGAGCGGCAGCTTGGCATGTACTGTGGAGTTCAGAGTGGATGGGGGTGGCAGGAGGGTAAGGAGGCACCCAGATGCCCACACTGGCCACTCGCAGCTATCTGAGGGGAAAGGAGTGGGAGTCCTGGGGAGTCAGGAAGGCAGACCTAGCTGTGTAATTCTGGATAATGAGCAGGCCTTGTCTGGTGGCTGCTTTTCCTGTAGCCAAGCGGGCTGGGTGAGGTGGGCTTCTCCGCCCACTGTTGGTGGGCGGTTCCCTTCCCTGCTGTTCCCTGAGGAGTTGCCCTAATGCAGTCAGAGGCTGTTAGGTCTGAGAGAAGAAGGGAAAGAGAAGAGGAAGAGGAGGAAGGAAGAAGTGGAGGTCTGAGGTCGAGGTCCGTGGAAGGAGTGGAGTGGACGGCCGTAAAAGTAGTGGGCAGCGGTGGCTTTATTTCGGGAATGCGGGGAGAGGCCTCCCCGCTGGCCCCGGGCGCAGCCTCTCCACTGCACCCGGGGCCGTGGTTATCCCAGGGAGAGGAGACTGGCACACTGGCTGCTGGAATCTGGCGATCTCTCTCTCTGGCGATCTCTCTCTCGGACACGTGGCGCGGGGGGAATCTAAATAGCCTAAGCTTAGGGCAGTGCCCTAAGGCCATTAGAGATGTACAGGTATTTCATTGGCGCACAGGTTCTTAGGGATAGGGGGTATAGGGTTACAGTCAAGTCTATAGGGGGCGGGGGGAGGCAGGAGTTTTCTAACTTAGCTGCAGCTTTTCCTGGTTACAGTGTCCGGTCTGGGCCAGCAACTCTTTCAGAGGCCTGGTCACCGTCAAGCTCATCGATGTATGTGCTATTACCCGAGAATGGGTTCTCTGTTCCCTTTACCCTATAATGGCCTGTGTACTGAGAATTAGCTGGCTCACCATACACTTCCCTCTATGGTGCTGGGGAGCAGACCTAGGGGCACTGGCCACTAAGCTATATCCCAGCCATTTTTACTTTGAGGTAGAGTCTTGGTGAGTTGCCCAGAATGTGCTTGAAATTTCAGTCTTCCTGCCTCAGCCTCCCAAATAGTTGGGATTACAGATGTGTACCACTGTGTCTGGTTTATTTTTTAAGTCACTTCAGCTACTCTTCAGTCTGACTGAGGCCATTTGGGGCTCTGAAAGAAGCTTTACCCTTGGAGTTGGGTGGTTTTGGCGTTTTTTTTTTTTTTTTTTTCCTCTGCAAGTTCTAGATCAGCACTTTCCAATAGAAACACAGTGCTGTCCTCTACAGTGCTGGGACCACAGACCTGTACCACCATGCCCAGTTTAAAATTTCAAAGTTCAGTAAAATATACTATTAACAATATTTTTGACTTGGTAAAATCCCGAGCTTTGAGAAGCCCAGCAGTTGGACTCTCCCAGTACTTCTGGGTCAGAGCAGGCACCGCCTGGTTCCTAGCCATGCACAGCCACCCTACTGGGCAGTGCTGTTTTAAATTCCCCTCTGTGGGGCTGCCCAACCTCTTTCCTTCCCTTCCTCCCCGGGCCTTGCGATGGTCCCTGCTGAGCAAGGGCTGTGGGCTCTGGGGCCTGTTGAGGCCCAGCTCCTGGCCACAGCCCCATACAGGCTGGGGGATGCTGAGGAAGTACTGGGGGGGAGTCGGGGGGGCGGTGGAATGTAGACTTTTGAGGTCTTATCCTCTCGGTCTGGATGGGGCACCCAAATCTGTATTTAAAGGTATCTCAGGTAATTCTTTTTCGATTTTAAAACACTGCTTTCTGCCCAGCACAAAATTTGAACATACCGAAGATTCACTGAGTGTGTGCGTGCTTGCGTGTGTGTGTGTAAAATTTCAAAATATACAAAAAACTAGAGGCCAGGCATGGTGGTGCTTACCTGTAATCTCAGCAGTCAGGAGGCTGAGGCAGGAGAATCATCGTGAGTTTGAAGCCAGCCTGGGCTCCATGGTGAGTTCAAGCCCAGCCTAAACTACGTGGCAAGACCCTGTCTCCAACCAGCCAACCAACCGATGGACCAATACAATGAGTCTCCCGGTTTTAGCACTGATTGGTGTCTTGCTCCATTCTCAGCGCCGTTGTTCATTCCCAGGTGTTTTCCTGTTGTGTCCACAGCGTGACCTGGTGTGGCACGGGGAAGAGCCAACCTGGGATGAGCAATGGGCACTACCAACTCGACATACCCTAACCTAGGCCTTCCTCCTTCCACGCATGCGCGCTGCGACTGAGCTGTACGCGCAGGCGCACGAGTGTTCGGGAGCAGCGCCCAGTGTGCACGTGACTTCGTCCTTAGAAACTGCTTTTTTTTTTTTTTTTTCTCACAGGCAGCTTCTTTCTCTGCAGCCGAGGCTGGCCTTGAACCCGAAATCTTACTGCCTTTGCCTCCCAAGTGCTGGGCTCACAGGCATGCGCTCCACGTACTTCAGAACTTCTGCAGTTTTGGTAGTCAGCTGCGTGTGCGGTAAGGACTGGACTCAGGCGCTGCGAGTCCCGGCCCCACCCTCCCTCCTCCTGTCTGCCCAGTCCTTTATTTTTGTTAAATTTGTGTTTCTTTAATCATTCATGATGTTTTATAGGTTGGTCAGCTCTTTCTATTTTTCCCTATGATTTGCATCTTAATATTGCCTTTTACTTATTTGAGTCACTTCTTTTTTAAGTAATTTTATTGGTACATTTTAGATATACATAGAGATCACATTCATCACAGGGAATTTGTGCCTGACTTGTCACGTTCATTCTTCTCTTCTGCACCCCACCCTTCAGCCCCTCTTTTCCTCCTTACTTACAAACGCTTCGTGTCCATTTTTTCCTTCTGTTCTTTTTTCTTGTCCTTCTCTTCTTTTCCCCCTCCTCCCTTGCTAGTTCCCCTTCTCATTTGAACATTTTCTTCCTGCTGCCTAATATCTTTGACACATTTTGATCCTTATTTACTCTTTTCAGTTTCTCACACTAGAGAGAGAATGAGGTATTTATACTTGTGTGTCTGATTTATTTCACTTAAAAGTATGGTCTCAAGGTGCACCCATTTAGCTAGAAATATCTCAAACCTTTCCTTCTTTATAGCAAAGTAGTTCTCCATTGTATAGAAAACCCCTAATCTTCTTTATCCATTCATC